TAGAGGCGTTCGTGAACAGCGGCTAGATTTCTTACTGTTTTTCCGAGTCTCAGAGGAGTCAGAACTACTTTGCGTGTTGCATAAGAGCTAGACTACAAATGTTTCATATTGTTTAATCAATTTTTTGTATATTCTTTAAAAAATTTACATTTATTTGAGCTTTAAGACAGGCCATTATCGTATTTTCGTTCAAGTCTATTGTTCATATCTTCTTTTTTGTGGCCCCCTTAAGCATATGATTTGAAATAAAAATAATGAAAAATAGATTTTTTGTTACTTCATTTTATTGAACAAACTCTCAAGACGTGCATGATTATGCCTTACTGGCTTGAACGAAATCATTTTTGTACTAGTACTGTAAAATTACTGTAGCTCTAGGCCATCTTTTCTCAGATTGATCAATTTCCATCTTTTTATAAGTTTTGAGGATAAGCGCATTTCTGAAGATCTCGATGGTCTGTTTAAAAACTATGAAATTATTGTAGGATTACTGTAGAACCACGTGTCATTACGGTAGCGGTCTTACAAAATGACTTTTTGAGTGGTACGCTGTCATTTGCTGATGCAAATTTTGAATAGTAGTATTGCGTTTTTAAGGGTTCCTGGTGTCTATGAAGCCACTGTAGGAGTACTGTAGTTTTTTAGGTGTCATCATGTTATTTAATGGACGTTTGTTGTAATTTGATATATGAAAATGTCTACCACCTACCTGTCTTCACAAAGTGGTTTAGAAGGAGGAAGGGGGGGGGGGGCGCAGAGAGGGGAGGGGGGTAGAATACAATGTTTGTGGTGATCGTTATTCGATTAATTAGTGTATAATGATGATGGCTTGCCTTGATCACTTGTTCCTGATTCACCTATTGGTCTTTTGTGGAATTCCAGGCACTCTCCAAACTTTGTTTGCAGTACACCTACAGTATTCCTACAATATTCCTACGGTAATCCTGCAATAATCCGACAGTTTCTTTATGTTTACAGTACTCCTACAGTAACCTTACAGTAACCATACAGTAAATCCACAGTAATGCCTTTGCAATAACGACTTCACATAAATCAGGATTTTTCTTTTGCGGAAAAAATTCTAATCATTCTACGGAGATTATCTATTCCACTGTGCTCCTACACTAATCTCATAACAATCCTACAGTAATCCCACCGTAACCTACAGTACCCTATAATAACAAATCTATATGAATCACAAAAATTTTACCGTTCAAATGCCTTCATTACAATACTCCGACAGTACTCTTACAGTAATCCTACAGTAATTCCATAGTAATGCCTTTGCAATAACGAGTAAACATAAACCAGAATTCTTCTGTCTTTTGCGGAAAAATCTAAACATTCTCCGAAGTTTATTCATCGTACTCCTACAATAATCTCACAGTAATCCTACAGCAACCTTACAGTAAACCTACAGTAACGCTACAGTAGCTCTGAAATAACGATTCGAAATCATCACAAAAATTCTACTAAATTGTTCACTATCTTCTTCATGCATTATTTCAAATATTTAACTTATTTGATTATTGTATTTTTAATTTAATTTTCTGAATGTTTTTCATCATTTTTTTGTTATTTTACTCATAATTGCCCACATATTAAGAATACAACTCGTTTGACAATTGAAACTGAGTAAATTTCGAAAAAATTTTGCTGCTCCCTTTCCTCCTTTACCTCCTCGCCCACTTCGTATTTATCTCATAATCTTTCCCGAATGCCTCAGTGTTTGCTGCACTTGTGGCGCTAACGAACCAACTCATCATTATGGATCGTTTCGTATTTCATGCCGACAGCAGCCGATCGGCATCCGCGTTGAAACACGCGAGAAAAAGTGAAAGCAACCGACAGAATTCGCTATTCGCACGTGTATGCGAAGAGCTGTTGATGCGACTAGAGCAAAGAGCATTTCGTCGACTCGACGCTTGCGACGAGGAAACTGATCCCCCCTCCCCCTTCCAGCTGTGACCTTCGGTACAGCGGGCATGGATTGAGGTAGAGCGACGAGTAATTATAGGAGCGTGTGCTCGTCGACATTGCGCGCAAAAGCGATCATCGAACTGTATTTTCTGGCTTCCATACGCCCCTTTTGCCAGATTGTAACCTTGTAAAACAAGTCTCTGCATAGTCACCATTCTTTTGTTCAGTTACCCACGAGAAATACCTCACCTTGGTCTCGCGTCTATCAAAGAAACATTCTTTGAATCTTCGAATAATCACCTTACAGTAATCCCACAGTAAGTCTACCCTACTCCTAGAGTAGCATATGATAGTCTAAAAACCTTGTCTTGATGTTAGAGCAAATGCAAGAGTTCACTCAATATCCTGTGAGTAGTAGACGTACAGTAATCCTACAGTAAGTCTACCATAATTCTGCAAATTATAAGTTGCCCACAGCAAAAATCTTACCTTGGTCTGTGTTGAACTACCCACAGGAACTAACTTGATATGATCTATAATGTGCAGTAATAATCCTACAATATCCCTACCATAATCCTACAGTAGCCTGAGCTCCACGAGAAAAAACCATCCAAATTTATGTCGCACTATGTTTAGGAACTCAGTCAGTATCTTCTAAATAGTGAGCAATAGTTACAGTATTGCTACAGTAACCCTAGCGTAATCTACAGTAACGTGGGTTTTTTACGAGGAAATCATCCTATTAACAGTGTTGGCACTACTAATAGGAACCCAGTCACTGTTCTTTACATAATAGGTATACCGTGATTCCGAAGTAACTCTACCGTAACATGAGTTGCCCACAAAAACAACCTGACTTTTGATCTGCTTACTTGAAGAAACTCGGTCAATATTTCTTGAGTGTGGGTATACAGTAATACAGTTATTCTACCGTAATCCTACAAAAGCTTGATGTAATCACCTGTTGCAAATTTACATTGCTCTGTGTTGCATACATACAGAAATTCAGTCAGTTTTTTCGAACAGTAAGGTACAGTAATCCTACATACAATATCTCTATCATAACGATCCTATGCGGAACTTTCAAAAATTTCCTTGCAAGGTGGTTTTTGCTGTTCTGTTTTGGCTGTGCAAGTTCTTCAAGTAGGAGAGTACTGTAAGATACAGTACAATCAGTAACACAATCAGATCAGTGTGTACCACAAAATGGTTCCTTAGCTGCATCAATGTATCTGGTCATGGGCCAAAGTTACGCAGCCTTTTTTTCTATTTTCGAGTGCAATGGGACTTTATAATGTTTATAAAAAATCATTACTTTTATAGAAATTTCTGGCACTTGCTCAATCGCACTGAGTGATAAGCTAAGTTTGACAAAACGGAGTTATTATTCTATCTAAAAGCCTGCGATGCGCAGGAAATTTGAGGTCGGCAGAAATTGCAAATGTTTCTTATTCGTTCTGACAAGTGTTTCTTGCTTTTCCTTCGCTCTTCTTTCTCTTTACACCAGGGTACTTCTTCTCAGTATCAATATCTATTACATTATAAAAATTCCATAACCTCGGCAAACAACTGCTGCGGAAGTCAAACAAAACCGCAACTGCGCAAATAATGCGCCTTTCAGAGAAAAACATGATTTTTGATGAGTGGTGTACTTAATAGCGGTGATATCACAAAGTCTAATGTCATATCGAATTATAAAGGGGGAAGAATGAAACTTATTGGGTTTGACACTTGGAATTTATTAGACGTTGAGACATTAGATAAATTGCCGATTTGCAAGGAGTGGTCTTTTATTTGAATGAATTTTTTGTATTTTGCAATAATCGATATATCCGCTTGACACGTAAATGTAGAAGTAACAAAATAAAATGATAATACAAAATAGTAAAAAACTTGAATAACGATTCGTACAGTATTGTTTTCATTTTTGAAAAATAAAGCGTTTGAAAGTAAATCTTTCATTTCTGTTTTCATTTATTTTCATGATTTTTTGGAATAAAATTTTTAAAAAATGTGCGAAGTTTACAGCTGTTCTTAAAAACATCCGATCACTGCAGATCTCTTTCAGCAAAAATGAGCACAGAACCTTACAAAACCGCGTCCAAAATAAAATCAGATTGACCATTTATATTTCGTAGCCACAAAAATTTTAAAAATGTTATTGTAATCTTGCAGTTTATCACTCTATAGCCGCCATATGCCAGTTATTGTTTTTTTTTTGCTCCAAGTACCACGAGAAGATGCCTAATTTGTTTTTCTGAAACGCGAAAAGGACGTGAACGAAGAGCGCCAGTTTGGGCCGCCTCTGCGGACTACTGGTCCTGGCACCCATGCAGCAACACTGCAGAAGGACCAGTTGGTCGCGAAAGGCTCCTCAAACTGGCCGCTCCGTTCCCGCACTCAAACCGAATAATCGAATTTTTTAGAAATGGAGTTTGTTATATTTTCACAACATCTGACTAGATCTATGCATTAAGCTGATATGAGGCTAAAGCTAGTTTTAGTAAATCTAAGATTTGAACAAGATCCTCAAACAACTTCTTTATACCTTGTCTATTGGACTAGTTACATACTTCATATACATCAAACGCGGCATGCTTCATCCGCGCCCAATCTTCCTCCCCCCTTCCCCCCTCATTTAAAACCAGTTTTCTCCTCATTTGCACTTTTCATAATACTTTAAAAATGTTATCTGTGATCGATTGTAGCTATAAAGCTTTGTAGCTCTAATTAGTGGCGCCGGAATGTATCACTCAGTAGATGAGAATTTTCCAGTTTCCATAGTAATTTTCTTTTTTCATATCATTCAATCTACCAAAGCTTAAATTTTTCTAGGCATGGGACAAAGTCCTCGTCCTAATTTCTCCCAAACAATCATTTTCCCATGCTCGGCTACTCATAAACCTGCCGTCAGAGAATTGACAGTGGTCAATGATTTATGGCCATACTTTTAACATTGCGGGGAATGTGCTCGGTCATCTGCGCAAGAAAATATTTTTCGTTTTCCTTTTGCTTCAGTGCCTTTTATCGCGAGCAGTCCGTACACTATCGATCGATTTATTGATTGAATCGATTATTTCCAGGGTATAGCCGGTCATTCACGGTTGATCAGTTCCATCCAGTAAAAACCGTAAACGCAAAATGAAGCTGTTTGGTCCGGGTGAGTGAAAATTTTTTTCTGTAATTTTGACCGAAAATTACCGATAATTATGCCAAATTTGAGAAAAATCGATAATTGATGGCTGCTAACACCGCGAACTTCTGGGTTAAAAATCAATATATCGAATTTGCTGTGCACTCATTTATTTGTCAGTCTTACATAAGCTTTCATTCTCAAAAGTCATACCTCATTTAATAAAAACCAAATCATTGCTGACTGCTTCACTGCAACCTACCTTAGGCTAAAAATCAATATATCGATTTTTGCGATGATACTTGCGCAGTTGTCGTCTCACAGAAATATAATTTCTTCTTTGGAAATTGCCAAAATGAAAAAAAATCAGCTTATTAGTAAGGCATATTCGGTGCACTTCGTTGTAAAAATCTATTTATCGATTTTTAAATAATAGTGCAGCTCAAAAAAGTTTATTTATTTTTCAGGTTATTACCGGTTCGACATTCTCGTTTTGTTATTCTACCAACTCAACCACTTCTTTGGTGTACAACAACTATTTCCGATCTTCCTCAACTACACTCCAAAGACCGTCTGTGAAGGTGAGCTAACATTATTTTGAAATGGTGGATTGTGTAATCTCGCAAATTTCGCAGAGTTATATGTTTTGCATCTGTTTTGAGTCTTAAAATGCAGAAGACCGTACGGAATTCTGATACGTTATCAACGAGGGGAAAGAAATGTGGGTGTCAAGCGGTTTTTGTAGCTTTCTTTAGTAGTTGTGATAAACGACTTACGTATATTTCGTTAATGTGATCTCAGATCAGTCGATTTCGATTGAGATGTGGGGTTAGGAAACTTACACTACATCACAATCAAGATTTACGTACAGTATGAACATAGTAGTCGAAGTGGTTTTTGTTGGGGGGAGGGGGCGGTAGTGGGGGGGGGGGGGGGGAGGAAATAGGTTTGTACGTGGATGTCACCAGTATCGCACTTATCCCCTTCCTTCCTGAAACTTTTTTTTTGCAAATCATTTTTTATATGGTGAACTCGTTTTGATGAACTGTTTGCAAATACAACGTATTACTAATATAGCTGTAATTGATACAGAAAGCAGAAAACCTTGATCACTGACAGAAAAGGGAGCGAGTAGGAGGGTATTCTTCCAGGTGACAGGGCATGCTTAATCCCTAAAAATGTTTTATAATGCAAATCTACGTGCAATGATTTCAGTTACAATCTCAATAATTTGCAAGCAAAAAAGTCATCCATTTCGCACTTTTATGCCTGATTACAACGAAACTATTTCAGTGACGCGCAAATCGATATATTGATTTTTTCAGGAAATCGATGTTTTGAAGTACCAAAGAGCAAGTGCGTAGAATGTCCCGACTGCCCAGATCTTTGCGCTAATGCAACAACACCGGCTGCAAAGGTAATTTTTGTGAAAATTTTGTAAAACAATGCTCAACTTTTTTGGAATCTGATGGAGTTTTTTTCAGAAAGAATGTGTCGACAAATACTCATTTGCATACTTCAAATCTGCAGCAATGGAGTATAGAACTCCATGTAAACCTGGCTGGAAAAAGTGAGTCATCTACAATTTCTTTTACCCTCCTCCCCCCCCCCCCTTCAGAAGAAAATGTGGTTACTTTAGCTTCCGTCCTGCTTTCGCACAATACTTTGGTGTACTGGTGGGTAATCTGTTCTTGGGATGGATTGCTGATACTATCGGACGTCGCAAGACTTATATTCTATCACTTGCCATCGGTATCCCAGCTTTGGCACTGTCTGGTAGGCCCTAACCTGAGACCGCTTTGACTAATCAATATATCGATTTCTTAGCTGCTATCAACAACATTCCGCTGTTCTATCTGCTCAGAATGATTACTGGTATCGGCATTGCTGGTAAGTTAGGATGATAACAGCGCAAGTTCTCAGAGCTATCGAAAAACTGCGATTGCTAACTCTTGCGATTTTTTAGGAACCCAGGTCGTGGGATGGGCTTACTGCTCAGAGCTGATTTCTCCACATCAAAGATTCAAGCTGAGAACGTTCAGTAACTGGGTAAGTGACAATCAGCAATTATGAGTCAGTTACATGGCTACTGAATTTATGCGAGAATTGGTCCCCATGGCATATTGCTTGATTTATAGTGACTGAATAGCATGCAAAAGCGAAAACTATAATAATTTGTTGTTTTCCTTTATTGGCGCAAGTTTCTCAGTCAAGTTTCCCTCAAAGACAGAAATGCTCTAGAGCATTGTTTATGGAAAGGCGAGAACTGATCCCCAGCAGACATATCGCTTGTAGTCGTAAATCACATATTTACTCTATGATAGTAACGTTTTATAGTTCTCTCTGAAGATATTTTTTACTTTACTAGGCAAGGGCAAAAATAACTCTGGACTGCACTCGTTCCTGTTTCAATATTTTTACGTATTTTTCCTGCTGCTGTTAATGTATCTCTAACTAAACGGGGCCAGTTCTCGCCACGCGAAATCTGTGCTGTTTTTCAAGTCGCAACTTGCATATTTCGTATTTTAGTTTCTGTATTTGGCACTTTCTTCTAGTTAATGGATTCTTGTTTGATAATAATAGCTTATGTTCCCTGACAACTAAAAATTACAGGCTAACGGACGTATTCTGTTGACGTTGGTATGCCTGTTCGCGGGCGAATGGCGTCTGTCATCGTATCTTTCGGCAGCGCTGTCATGTATCAAGCTGTGCATCGTGCTATTCGTTCTACCCGAAAGTCATATCTGGTTGAGGAAGAAGGTGAATTTTAATTTGAGCATTAAAGGGCAGTTCAAATGATTCATTTATTGCTGAGAAATATGACTCTGAAGTCTCGCCCAGCACCGTATTCGAGAAGGAGTCCGGTTTGAAAAAGTACGGTCCGGGTGAGAGTTCGAAGTTGAATTTTTTCCCACAAACGGATAGCATGAGCCGTTTGTGTAATAGCTCATTTGGAACCACCCAGGCAATACGCACGCTTGGGCAGGGCCCAAGGTGGAAGGCCCAAAAATGCTGTACAACACTACCATCATGTAATTTTAGGGACGTTTCCAAGAAAGTGAGGAAAGTCGCAAACGTATTGCAAAAATGTCCGGCATGGAATTTGAGCCAAGTAAGTGTTATAAGCATCGGGGAGCAGTTCTCGTCCATTGAATCTATTGTGTTTCAGTGGCACCACCTGAAGATAAAGGAGAAGTCAAGGAACCGGAAAAGAAAATTAGCATTGCTGACGTTTTCAAACAACCTCACTTGCGTAAAAATCTGCTCGTTCTATGGACTATGTAAGTGAATCTGGACAACTAGCACAAGTGAACTAACCATGGGCGTTACTATCATGCGAAACGCATGAAAAAACTACCTTGAGATTATCTAGATAGAATTCCACTAATTCTCACCTTAACGACTTTTCCGTTTCTTCCCTTTTGAAAAAACCTCTTAATTGTTACTAACTCGGCTCCGCCCCTTTTTGTGACAGTTTGCATGTTGTAGGTGGTTCACTGCTGGTTTGACTGCTTATCTAACTGATCTCTGCGGTGGCGATATGACGAAAAACTTCTGGGTTGGACAATTCTTGTCCGGAATTCTGCTTTCGGTCGTCAGAATTGTAAGTTCAATATAAATTTTTCTAACTTCGCGACAAATTAATTTTGTGAACTTTTCAAGGTTCTCGGTTTCGCTGACGGTTTTCTACCATGGATGGGCCGCCGCTTTGTGTTGTTGGCTGCACAAAGTCTTGCTATTGGATTCTTCGCATGTGTAATTGCGTTCTTGTATATGGGAGCTAAAGTTAGTTGACTAAGCCGGTGAAAGTTATCACAGGGTGGAAGGTTTACCATTGCAGGGCGAAGTTTACTACACTGGAGTATATCTGGCTGCTTTCGTTTTCACCTCGATTGTTTGGGAGCCATGCTATCTGTGCGCTTCAGAACTTATGCCCACCGACGTCCGTGCTACCAGTACCGCTTCATGCTCCATTATTTCGCGTGTCGCGAATATTGGAGCATCCATGCTTGTGAGCTTTTCTACAATTTCACAAAAAAGCCTTAACTGTCAAATCTAGTGATCATGCTCCTGCTGACTTCCAAAGTTGCACTTGCAAACACACTAAGGCTTCCGCCAGAGTGCCGAAGTTATGCCAGCGCTACGCCAGCATTTCGATCGATACATGTATTTCGTTGGGGACTTCAACTAGCCCCGCCCCAACGAAATACACGTGTATCGATCGAAATGCTGGCGTAGCGCTAGCATAAATTCGACACTCTGGCGGGAGCCTAAGAATGTGAGAATAAGCATGTGGCGAATCGATGGGCTCGCGGCACCTAGGTAGAATCATGAAGTATAGTGTTCGCCCTAATAACGACGTACCTAGCCTACAATCAACCGAACGCGCGACCAGAAGAAAATCCTAACGGCATAATTATTGCTACAAGAAACACAAATCAAATTATAAAAAGAAATACTACTATTACCCAAAAACATGCTAACATACACGGGATTCCCGCCTGTAATACCAGTGCGCGACTAAATTGTTTCAACGCATGTACAAGCTCCTGCAGGACGAAGGCGGTTGGTTCGATGTGCGACGTGGCTGTGACGCGACTGTGACGCGGCTGTGACTCAGCCGTGTCGCGGCCGCGTTGCACATCGAACCAACCGCCTTCGTCTCGCAGGAGCTTATATTCTCGAGGGTTCACACAACAAATCCACCGCACAACGCAAAGTTTCCAGGCGAAGCACAAATGTCCTCTCCTACCCCAGGATTGCAATTCCATATAGACTCAGTTCCGATGAACCTTCAATATGCTGCGGCTAGAATCCAGTGTAAAGGCATTCAGCTCTACTACTCTTTCAGGCATAAGGCATACCTCACACGATTTTAGTCGCTGCGCAAAATAGCACCGCAACGGCTCTTTATGAATGGTCGTAAATGCACTATGCTCGGGCTTGATGTGTTTGCTACAGCTTACGGAATGTACTCCCCATGTTTTTAAAACTCATGCATGGTCAATCTGTAGACATCTGGCAAATCGCCAAGTTGTGTGAATGTAGATTTCGCGGAATCGTGATATGCTTTAGGCCTAAGGCATACCTCACGCGATTCAGCCAAATCGCCACTTTCACGCGACTTGGTAATTTGCCAGATATCCGCTTTATCGTGCACGCTTCGCGAATGCGTATTCGGATAGCTTTTGTAAGTTGTTGCAAACGGATCAAGTTCTGACTAAAAGAAGCGCATTAACGACGAATTACAAGGAGTCGTTGTTGTGCCAAATCGCGCAGCGATCGGAAGCGTGAGGTATGCCTTAGGCCTTAGGCCTCAAAGGGCAGGAGCATATCGCGCGGCTGAAACTACTTTGAAAATAGAACATAAAGTCAACAAGACGAAAATTGAACTAGGCACCGAACTGAGGCGCTGGCTGCTACAGTCGGTTTCATCTCGGATTAGGCGCGACATTCTACGTGGAGCCGCATGCGCATCGCTGGAGCCTTTGCGAGCGCATAGCGCTGGCATTTTGCCAAGCAAAGACCAAGGAGATTGAAGAGATGCAGACATGGGTTCTCAGCACCATAGGATATACTGTAGCTGCGAAACGGCGCGAGCTGTTGCGAGGCGGACTCCCGCCAATCCAATTTCCGCCTAAAGCGGGTCGAAACTTACTGTATGTATAGCGCCTGGCTGGCAACGAGCAAGGAGCGGTCCGGAGACGATCGCGGTAACACGCGTCTCGGCTCCGTAATCGTCGCCGGATAGTGCGGTACCCGATGCTCCTGGACTCCGTGTTTCGAGGAGCGCCTTGCATTGCGAGATGCGACAAAGCGCTTAGAACGTGCGCGAGTTAGGACTGCAGAAGTCGCTGCGAGTTCTGTAATTGCTACTCCCAAACTTGAAACAGCTCTTGATAGAGCATACGATAGGGCCTGTGTCACACCAAAGTGTATTATAACCTGCAAAACGTGCATGCAGGAGAACTGTACTAAGGCGTTATCCAGCTCATATTAATGAGCACATAGGAGAAACGGGAAAGGTACTCTGTTTATCACCTTGAATGAGGTAGGTGCGGCTCTGGGATTTGCATCTTTCTCGCGAGCGCATCTGATCATTCCTCAGGCTTGATTAGCGATCGCAGCTCCAGCTTACATTTGATGAGATATCTGGAAGAGTAAATCTTATTTATTTAACAAGCTCTGCCAAAGCGAGTTGTCCGAAACGTAAATCGGATAGAAGTTACAACAATATTATTCGGCTAAACTATTTCAAGCAACGATAAGCATGCTCCACTACTAATTACTACCATTCCAGAGCCAACTTAAAACTATCTACGAGCCTGGTGTGCATATGATCTCAATGGCATGTGGTCTCTTCAACGTCCTCGTAGCATTCATCTGGCTACAGGTAATTTTGATGAAAGCTGTACCGTGTACTTATCCTACACCTTCAGTGAGTCTACAGTATCCGCATACAAAATTGTATTTTTTTAGGAGACCAAAAACTGCAACTTGGACAACGTCGGAAAAGCGCCAGAGCCCAAAGCGTAAGTGCTACTTACAATACTATCTTGCATAACAGTATACCCAATCTACTGCAATCGTTCAGTGATGCTAAGGAGATGGAAACGCTTCTACCTAAAGGAGGTGAAAATGCGGCTGATGGCACCAATGCAAAAGCAGAAGATGGTGATAAACACTAAAGCAAAACGATGGAAAGCGACAGCAACTAGCACAACACCGCCAGTCTTTCGCAAAACGCCCGCCGCGCAACTTTACGCTCCGCCCACACCAGTCGATTGGGTTTCGTGTTTGTGTTCGTATGCAAGAATAAGCTTTACTTTCGCATAGGTTTAGTATTTCTCAACGATATTCATACTAGTGGCTTCTTCGCACAGCAGTCTTTGTAGCTTACACAGTACTAACAGTATCTGTACTCAGAAAGGACTCGTCTGAAAAGTTCGCCCAATCTTATCTTTTATGTTTATACTCTGCATCCTGAGGTGTCTAATTATTTTGTGTGTGTTGTGGTTGTGGACGTTATTTGTTCAACTTCATATTAGGCGATTTCTGCGCACATGTTTATCGGAAACATTTCCCGCCCTTTTTTGTGCTGCAGCCCAACTCTCTTTTATACTTTTTGCGACGTTTCATTGATCGTTTTACCGCGTCTTGTCTTACGCCACAACGAAACGTCGGTGTAACCACTATCATTTCTATTTTTTATGTGTCCCTTCAAGTTTATGTTCATCGATTATATCGATTACTTAATCAGAATAGCTGTAGTTTCTAGTTTGGAGTTCGGAAAATCTCTCGTGCCGCATCTTTTGACAATTTTCTGTCTCACTCTTGTTATGATCAAGTATCCGATGCAGTACAGGTCTTAATATAAGGTCGTGTGTGTGATCTAGTGTGAATTCTGATTAGTCTCAAATAAAAGGTATCGATTGCTTTGATGGTTTGGATACAATGGAATAAGTCGCTTTCTGCGTAAATCGGAAGTTGCTGAAGCTGCTTCATACTAATCGGAAGTTCCGGCACAATCAGCATAGCAATGCTGAGTTGTGCTGACGATATTGGGTGGCAGAAATGGCAGATGACCGTTTTCAATCGTTTTGTTTGTGCATTTTACCCGCTTCTATCTATTCCTTTATCTTCGCTTTCTCTCGTGTTGGAAAAAGTTCCAAACTTGGAGCGCGATCCGAGAATAAACTCTAATTCTTGTTCACGTGAATACTATCTCGAAGTTTGGAGTTCTCTTACCAAATACCGGAGCAATAAGTAAGAACGAATTGGCGAATCGATGGAAAGTCTTCGTCCTGCTTACCATATTCCTTGGGGAGCTAAGGCGAGACAGTAAGGAGATTGGTACAGCAAGTGCAACTAGACTGGATAAGGATGGTTGACATTTGGCATGACTTCAGAATAGATAATTGGCCCCGAGGGCAAACCTTATGTACATATTCTTAGGCTATATTGAGCATGAATGCACTAATAAATTGAGCGCCTCTGAACATCTTTGCAACAAGCTCAACAGTAAGCCATCTAACACCTCAAATTTCCATTTCAAACAAACAAAGTTCGGAGCTTTCTCCCTCTTACTCTCCTTTATGTCTATTTGTAGATGTGAGGTACTGATAGCTTGTGATAAGTGTGCCTGACGGTTTTACTCATTCATTTTCGGTAACAAGTACAGTCGACACAATTTAAAAAATTCTTGTACCCCACTTATAGATTAAGTAGTTGCGGTACTATGTACGGAGTTTGACAGATCAATACTTAAACGCACAATTTCCCTTTTCCTACAGACTGTTACAAGACTTAGGTTGTGTTTTTGTTGCTACAGTCACGATCATAAGTTCGGCTATGAAGAAGTTAAGTGCAAATCGTCAGCCCACAAGGATTTAATGGCGCCTTTGTAGATATGGGCTGCGAGTTCTAGAAACGAAAAGACTCGAAGGAAGGTAGAAAGGAAATGCGAAGCAGTTGAGAGTCTCCAAGAGATAAAAGTTACACCAACGAAGCTAGAAGCTTATCTTACAAATTTTGAAGAGTAGAAGAAATAAGTAAAGGAGAGATCATCAAAATGAAAGCGATTGCAAAGCAGACAAGGATGAGGCAAGATGTCAGAATTAAAGGAGTATTAGACAAATGTCGGAACGTAGCCAAGAGAAAACTTTTGATATAGGACTACGTTAAAGGTGAGGGTGAAAAGTATGCCACCGCACGACAATCATCATAACTTATAATAATGGGCTAAGGATGTTTACGTGACTTTGTATGTGTGTGTGTGTGTGTGTTTGTGTGTGTGTGTGTGTGTGTGTGTTTGTGTGTGTGTGTGTGTGTGTTGTGTGTGTGTGTGTGTGTGTGTGTGTGTGTGTGTGTGTGTGTGTGTGTGTGTGTGTGTGTGTGTGTGTGTGTGTGTGTTACGAAATTCGTGAAGCGTGTTCCAGCCAGCGTTCTAAGCCCAAATTTTGTATAGCGCATGCTACCTTCATGAAAGTCCAACATGCAAAAGCACGAGTAGATTGGTTGAGTAGAACTCGCAGAAATTGCGCGGCAAACGGGTCCACTTAGCTTCTGACCTACAAAATTGGGTCCCTATCAGCACTTTTTGCGAAGTCGTTGAGGTGTTTGACAAGTAAATGTGCAAGCCTTGGACTCCAGCCCAAATAATGGGCAAAAATCTACTACTTTGCGAAAATGACGCCAAACTGGATTGGTTGCGTAAATGGTCAATTTGAAAACGATCTACTGGCGCATCTGAAAAGATTTTTACGCAGAAGTGTTGCTCACGGTGGCTATTGGCCTTATGGCAACTACCAAACCATAAAAAATCCAGGAACCCACTCAAATTTGCATTTGTTCTTCGGCGAAAAGTTCCATCCTCGCGAAATTATCGATCTCACGTGAAAAAGCTGTTAAAATGAGTGGTTGTTTACATCCTATTCGTGGTAGTCGGCCACTGCGCGGTGAGTTTCAATGCCATCATTATGGGAAAGTAATGAGGCATATGGATAGTAGAGCTAGTGCGAGCCTCGGCGAAGCAGAGGTGACGACTGGTTACTTATAATAAGCCGCTAATTTGTCGGTCTGTAAGTCTGTCTGTTACGAAATTATAGTGAGAAATGATTTACAGTTTAAATGCATGTGAGAATTGCAAAGCAAGTAGGGTTTATTTTTGTAATTACTTGGCGGCCTCTCCATCAAAGAATGATGAAGGCCAAAATCATTACGTAAGTTTACCTACCTACACTTTTCACGATGGCCAGTGCGAACCTCTGCAAAGCAGAGGTGAAGCACTGGTCACAGTATAATGGAAGATGGCCAACATCTAACGACGAGGAGCCATTGCTAGTCTTGAATCAAGAAAGCGGCAAGGAGCGGTCAACTTTGTTGTTATATCCGAAAGCTACTGAAGGAAGATAAAGAGCGGGTGGAAATAAAAGGCATACTATGGGAAAAGGAAGTAAAAGGTTGTAGTTCTTGTCTTGTTGGGTAGAACCTGACACAGCGGAATACTCCGTAGTTTATTAGCTGATCGAAATAATGAATGAATCATGATACGAGTACGGTAGCTATATGTACTCTCGACTCTGAGAACGTACCACGGGTAGCAGCACCTAAGAGAGCTTTATGGGAACAGGGGAAACACATGGGAACCGAGTTCGAATCTAACAAAGCAACATGAGGAATCACAACGATACAAAGCAATTACAATACATAACACGTCACTCCCCAACAAAAGGGAAAACAAAAGACTGCAAAAATCAGATCTGTCTTGAACTGTGATTGCCTCTTAGCAAAGAATGAGAACTCAACTCCAGGCCGCGTTTTCGTTCTAGATTAAAAAGTTTAAAAGGACAGCCGTCGACGCTTCATTTTCTCGAGAGTACCATGAAACTCGGCGCACTATACATGACGCAAAAGGACACTTTGAGAAGGACCAGTCTGAAGAGAGAGAGAGAGAGAGAGAGAGCCCTGTGCTTGCATTCGGCCAATTAATTAACATTCAAAAGAATTTGTAGGTAAGAAGAAGAATGAAAACAGAAACGTGCGGGGTAGTGCGAGAACGGCGATCACGGATACAAAACTGGTAATGGTCGTGGTAATTATTATTTTGTCTTACTTGTTGTCTGCGTTTCGTTGTTTTGTCGTTTTGAACAATGGGCTGCAATAAGGGAAGTGAAATAGCCAGATAAGTTTGAGCTCAATCGAAAGTGTTGGTTGAAACCTAATCGAGGTTTATGACGTAGGACATACAAGTGAACATAGGACATACAAGTAAACAAAGGCTCGAAGGGTATAGATACCGGAGGACGAGCGATCTTGCAGGCTCTCCACAAGCGTTCTGGGAGATGGGCCAAGATACCAATTTTCTTATGTTATAAAGCAAGAGAAGTTCTCGCAGGAAAAATCCTTAGTCGAAGATCTTTTCAGAAGAGACGCATATCTTCTTGAGGGGTATCATACACTAATTCCAAATGTATCTTTCTTATCTGCGGAGCGCCTTTGAACAAGGTGCTATCAGAGTTTGTAGCAAAGTTTTGAATTACTTAGTCATAAGAAAATCATTTATAGAAGACTTCATGAACTTAAATGGAACACTGGTAACTAATCGACTTTTCTACGAAGAGAATTTCTTGCTTGCTACCCCAGTGCCATGCCCGTGCTAACCATTATTCCATCTGCTAACTGAAAAGGTTTCCCTCATCAACGCTCGTGCCAAAGTCCGTTGTTCCCACTGGAGGAGCACCACCACGAATTCTACCTGCTGAAGTGCGCACGGCGATTCAGACCATGAAGACATCCACGGCTCCAAGACCAGACCACCTTTCCGTCGAATTTCTGCGAGCCGGAGGACAACGTCTACACGAGATTCTTGCCTCGCACCCGACATCTTATCTTCAGAAGAAGAGGATTCGCAACCAGTAAAGGACGTCAAGAACCGTCCTTCTCTTCAAGAGGGGTGAACGGGAGGATCTTCGGAATTACCGTCCAATATGCCTGCTGAGTGTGCTATGCGAGCTTTTCACGAAGATTATTCTAACTTACACAATTAGGACACTGGATGAAGCCCACCCAAGAACAAGATTTTTGCAAAGGGTTCAGCTGCATGGATCATATCCAGACGGTTTGAGGGTCAATAGAAGTCTGCCGGGAATACCGACTGCCCTCGTCCTAGCCTTCGTCGACTACGAGAAAGCCTCTAACAGCGTTTAAACTAACGCCATTCTGTCTGCGTTAGTCGATCAAGAAGTGGACCTAGCTTACGTGAGGACTTTAGCCGACTGCTACAAGGATGTACAGCGACGATGCAGCTATTCCATCGCCCCCTGACCATCCCAATTGGGAAGGGGGTTTACAAGGCGACACAATTTCGCCGAAGCTGTTCACCGCGGCCTTGCAGTGGGTATTAAAGTCACTGGATTGGGACGAGAGAGGTATACGAGTTGATGGGAGATTTCTGTCGAACCTTCGTTTTGCGGAAGACATCGTTCTTTTCTCAAACAGTATCACTGAAGCGGAGACGATGCTGAAGGAACCGAACAAAGTAGGGAAGAAGATAGGATTGCGAATAAATCGGAAGAAGACTCAGTTCATGAAGAACGCCGTTTGCGAAGATGCGGAAATGGAATTGGAAGGCACTCTTATCATGGAGAAGACGTCTTCCTACGTGTATCTCGGACGAATTCAATGAACATGGAGAACGAATTGAGGGGAGAACTTAACAAGAGAAGAAGAACAGCCTGGGCCGTCTTAGGGCCTTTAAAGAAAGCCAAAGACCAACTGACGGACCCGACCCGGAGCTTCGTTCCCACCTATTTGACTCAACCGTTCTCCCGGCGCTCTGTTACGCAGCTGGGCTTGGGCCGACACTGTAGCCACGTCGAAAGCTTTACCGACCATCTACGAAGCGCTCGAGCGCAGTCTTCTGAAGATGACCCGACGCAAGCAATATCTAGTCGGAGTTCGCAGTACGAATATGGGAAGAATGTCCCGCCTTCGTGTCCCAGCGGAATACGTTGCGAAAGCCAAACACCGATGGGCCGGTCACATAATGAGAAGAACAGACGACAGATGGACACTAAGAACATCTGAGTGGATTCCTCGTGAAGCCAAACGTCCTCGAGGAAGACCACCGACGAGATGGGCAGACGTGTTCGTGGAACGGATGGACCAGCTGAGAAATCAGCTGGATACGACTTTCGCCCCTGAAACTCGTGGACGCAGCCACCGACGACGACCAAAAAGACCGTGGATGTCTGAAGGGGCATATGCAAACTTTTGTGCTGGGGCCTGCACAAGAGGTGAAGACGGGCCATCTAAGTATCTAAGTAAGTAACTGGAAAGGCTGTCATCATAGATTTTACTCTGATCAGGCATTCAGTTTTTTTGACTCATAAAATGCTCGTAACTCTTCACCCAGACGCTCCGCAGTTAAAGGAAACAGATTTGAACTCAGCGTTCCATGCACTTTAAGACAGTGCTCAACTGGAGAGGCCACTCTGACTGAAGATCCGTCCCTTACTCATTATAAGCAATGCCTCAGCTTTGAAACTGGAGAAGAATAAATGTGCATTAGACTTTCCTGACACAATTATCAACCGGGCTGAATTACTCCTTGTTGCGATTGGAAAGGCAAAGCGAACGGTACATTCACTCTTTTCTCACTGCCATCAAAAAAACGAACTGATCTTCTGAAATGTGACGATGTCGACTCGAAGCTCGATACTCCCATCTCGAAAAATCAAAATTCATTGAGTAGAATAAAGAAACCAAAAAACCCAAATATTATCAACAACACAAACGAAATAAATAATGCTATGTCAACATGATCAAATTCTTTTAGCCTATCCAACAGCTGCAATTTTTTCGTCAGAGTTGTATGTTCTAACTCCCGTAGCATGTTGTCCATGCTGAGGTCCTTATAAAAAACCGACCTGGAAAAATTAAAATGGTTTCGTTTGAATATAAGGAAGATTCATGATTACCGTGATTTCTGCGGATTCTGTTCGGCAGCTAACGCATTTTTCTGTATGAGAGATTCTAGATTTTTCGATAAAGACGTTCTAAGTGGACATTTTTTGATAGTTGAATATGGATTCTCTTCCTCCCCATCAGCATCTGATTGGGGACTGTTCTGTTGTTCTATGTAAGAGAGATGCATTTGAGATATCCTAAGTGGAACTTTTGAGTGAAAAAAAAAACTTGCGCAGTCCAAATTATTCTCACCGTGACACTTCAGCGTTGAAAATATTTTTTGGGGTATGATATCCATGATCGTCGTCGTCAGTGCTCTCTTGCGTTGTCGTACTCCCTGGTTCAGGCTGACACAACCTATCAGTATCGCACATCTGGAAATTGTCATCATAGAATACGTCGTTAAAAATCATTTACGGCCATTAGCGACGGGGGTCGCGCGAAAAATCGGGTTGATGGATATTTACACATTTTACGCGATTGCGATTGCGATAGTTGCGGCAGGAAGTGCTTACCCTGCCCTTGTGATGGGCTGATTATCAGAATTGAAGAGATAAAAGTGCACAAGAAGCGGAAGAGCATAACAAGATCTACGCGGCGAGCATTAGGATATGATTTCTCATATTTCTTTTAGGGAAGTCACGTATCTTGGAAATCATAAATAATCGTGGAATAATGAAATTTGCAAAGTGTTGCAGAGATTGACTTACTAAGCCCAGAAAAAAAAAGCTGTAAAACAAATCAAGATCTTATTTTTGCTGTGGACTCACGCTCAGCGACTAAAGACTCAGAATCTCGGAAACTGCCAATATTTTGCATAGTGGACTGACCCGAGGTGCTGAACAGAGATATCATATTCATTCGTTGTCAGGATAAAAACCATATCAAATCTAACATAACCTTACAAAAAGTTTGCTAAGTACTGAATATCATTCTTATGCTCAGCATGTTAGAAAAAAACTCCCCTAAGACCAAGATTTCGTTCTGTGACAAACAGTGACTTTGCTTCCTTTGCCGCATACCTACCGTAAGAGAGATTGTCTTGCTTAGTGAGATTTAGAGGTTTTGGCTGATTTAACAAATATGGTCGTGATCCAGAGAAAAGATGTGAAAATAAAAATTTGTGATGTATTGAAATAAGGGCTCGGGAAATTGGTCAAATCATGGCTTTTCAAGTCTTATCTGAGGTTACGTACGGTGTAAGTTACTGCTAAATCTGTACATGTAGCTTTTCAAAAGTAGAATGCAAAAAAAAGAAAAATGTGTTTCGCATATACGTTGAGATAAAGCTGAAAAATGAACATTGCTTGTTACTTCGTACCAGGACTCGGCCTTATAAGCAAGCTGGATATCGTTTTGGAACAAAAAGCAAAGAATATATAGTTTTTGTTGCCGAAAAACACAACTTAGGTTCCGTTTTGTGATAGTCCTCATCTCGTTTTTTTAGGGTTTTTATGTTCAGGGATTATGGTTATTCACTAGGTTATTCATTTATTCAATGGTAATACGCTGCATGTTTCCTTACTTTTTTGAAAAAAATAAATTGAAGTGTTCGGATTTTTCAAGACTCTATGATCTTACAATTCCCAAAGCTCTTCGGAAACTTTCATATGGCGAAAGCTTCGCGTTAAGTACTAGTCTGAAAATATTCAGAAACTTTTGTAAAGTGAAGCCGCTTACTGCAGAATCTATGAAAACTGTAATTTCGCAGGCTCAGAAACAGACTTCAGAATATGAGGACTAAAAGGAAATCCAACAAAAGTGTGAAGGTTTGCGTGTCAGATGTTCGTGTAAAGGAAGTGAGACCTACACAGAAACAAAGGAGGACTCATTTTTTGTGATCCAAGCAGACGGTCGGAAAAGAATCCAAATTTATTTAAACACGATGCCAAACCTAGAAGAAGAGCCGCTCTACAATTAAGGACATAGCCGTGACCGCTTCGTCGAATAAGCTTATATTTTGTGCAAGAAGTGCTGCATGGGAGAATATTTGAAGTATACCGACTATCAAATTTCGATCACAGGTGATCACTTCTCTTCAGACTGCGGTAATTTGACAAAAAAGTAAATGAAATCATACAAAAGTGACCGAATGCAAAAACAAAGCAGCTGGCACCTCTCTCTCTAGGCAGTTTTATGAAAAAATCCTAATAAACAGAGAGAAATATATTCGAAAAAGTTCCGCTTCTCTAAAACATGAGCAGTTCCGGTAAAATAGTGCACTGAGCGCGAAATGGAGTGAATTACAGCCCAGCACTTCGCAGTAAAAAGCATCAAATCACGAACGTTTACACAAAACCAGCATTGGCGCGCAGTGTCATAGAGCTCCACCATATGAGTTGCTTGAGACATGAGTGAAACGTTGAGTAAACACCGAAGATTGATCGAGTTCCTGTCCATAAATGGACGAAAAAATTGGAAAATTTCCGCCTGGACATCGAAAAGGCAATTCGAGATTTTTTATGGTGTGTGGAAGTTGATGTATTAGTGAAATATCATGAGAATAGCTAGTGCAACGAAGTGGTTTTTGCGAAAAATCACCAACAGGATGGGGATTTTTACGGAAAGAGGCTTGGGGCAGACAAACTATTAGGTTGTACCAGAAGTAAACTCCCATTCAAGGTTTTTTTGTTTTGCTAGCAGACTTAGGGTACCACTCGATAGAGCAAGCTCCACAAAAAGACCACCGAAGATCCAACTAAGTCGTAATCTAGGTAAAGTGTGGAGCCAAAAATCAAAATTTTGCAGATCCCGCAAAAATCGGATCTTATCCTTTGGAATTTATTTCTCCCGGGTCGTTATACAGTAGGCGCATAATAGCACCCGAACATGTTAGTTGGATTTTCTAGGGTTTCAAAAGTTGAGAAGTAAAAATGGACTGGAAATGCAAAAATGTCGCTTTCGATTTTTTATATTAAACTAGCGAACTTAGTAATCTTAAAGGTGCTAATTGGAAGAGCGTTCGCTTCGGGACCAGCCGCGGTTTTCCCCTATTATTATAGAAGATTTTTGAATTAAAGCCACCGATTTTTTATACATTAGATTGGTAATTCTCTATTAACAGGGCACATACAGAGATAAAATTTTGAGTTTATACTTACTAGGACTTGCAGTATATGATCACGTATGTGGGAGGAGCTGGGGCGGAGTTTGCCATTTTTGGGCTTTTTTATGGCTTTCTATGCATGGAAAAATCCAGTAAAAGCATTGCATACTGCTATGTGTCTATTGTATAACAACCAAGTTGAAGCTCCGTAAGTTTTCTTCTCGCAAAAAATCTTTCAATTGATAAATGTTTTCACTTTTGGCTCCAAATTCTAGCGATTTTTGGTGTAGAGCTTGTTTCTCGTTATTGAGTAGTACCAAAGTCTCCCAGGAAAACAAAAACAGCTTGCTTCATCTGAAAAACTATTTAATTAAGAAAAGGTTTTCTTTTGGGGCAATTTAACAGAAAGAATTTCTAGAGGGAAAATTTATGCCGCAGATGCCGTCATAATGACAGACTTTTTTTCTGAATATTTGCGGTTGCTGTGACTACTGAAAACTTGTAACATACACATTTATTCGCTTTCTCAATTGTCGACCGAACGACACAGATAGAAACAAAAGTAGATTCGACAACGGCGTAACCTTGAAAATCTTGAGAAGCTGTTCAAAAATTGCAATTTTTATCAATACGGCACAGTAACAAATGGGTTAATAGTGAGCGCAGGCAAATGATATCAAGCGAAAACGTAGGGTATTTATAATAAAAATAATTTTTGCTTTTACAGTGAATTCTAAGCTGAATACATAGGAATGCTGCTGCTTTGATAACCTTTGCGAATCAAAAAGGCTCTTGAAAGCGGTCTCCGAACAGCCGTATCCATAAATTTCGTGCTGTAATACTTAGCTAGACGGTATATCTTATAAATATGTAATAATTTCTTATCAACAAGAAATAAATGGAATAAGTGGTGATGGTAATCTCTAGCTGAAACCTACACTTTGCCAAAAGATGGAAACTGGAAATGAAGGTAGCCAGTCGTTCAAGCAATGGACAACATCACCGATACAAGGCAAACTTGAAAAAGGTTCTTGTAGAAAAGACCGTATAACTATTGTTTTAAAGTGTTTGAAATCAAAAGAAATCATTATCTTAGAGCATAGATCTCTAGTTCATTAACAATTAAAAAAGACTCTGCTTATATGATGTAGATATATGCTGGAAGAGAGACAATTAACAAATTAACTCTTTGCTGCATTCATCCATCTTCATAAATGACATGTACAAATTTCTTTCATGATATGCTTTATGGACTCTTCAAGTTTTCCGGAAATTATTCCTATGAGGAATCAAAGCATGAAACCTTGCACTACAGAAACATATAGGAGTTTAAACGAACAGAATTACCTTCTAAGAGACACACTCAAAAAGGCGCAATTGTCTGTATTTTTGAAGACTACTTTGGAGTAGACATTTTAGATATGCCAAGTTCAAACAACATTAAAGAGGTTCACTATTAAAAACTTCCACAAATGTCCGAGCCACCTACAGTAGTAGAGCAAACATTTTTGGATCGAAAAAAAGAATTCTAACCTTTCAAACTCATCGTTGGCGCGATAAAAGGCACAATGGTGCATTCTGAAAATATCTGCCGTGTGGAAAAAACTAGATGAGAAGACTACAGTATCTACGGCGCAAACTAGACAGAACTTTCCACTTTCCATTTGATTTTTCACAGCATTTCTTTGCGTGCAGCCGTCCTACGGTATCCTATATAGGCTGAGCAAAGGAGTGAAGGACTATACAAAATCATTTTAGACTCTGAGAGAGGTCTGCACAAAATAAATCTGACAGCGAGAAATTAGAAAGACGCATGAGGTGATGCGGAGAGACTTTTGAAGAGGGTGGTCTTAGACTCGGCTGAGTGCGGCTCTACGTATCATCTGGCCGATTATTAAAACGAACGAACGGCCAGAGACAGACAGACGATGGGGACCATCGGCGCTGTTGACAGACTTAGACGAAGCGGTCAGCGATTAGACACACACCACACACTCATTAGCATGCACGCACTCTTGCGCTTCGACCGAGGTCAAGAAATTTACGGTGGCCCGGTGTCAAGGCGAATGCTACTGCTTGAGTGGGGGCTCATAAACTTTCTTGGATGGGATAGCCAGCTCATGCAATTCACCGGAAATTCCGCAAGACAAGCAAAAATTCCAGAGGTTCCGCAGGATTTTGTTTACTATTAGAGGAAGTGGAAACGTTAGACAGGGAATTGCAGGATTTTCACGTCAGAATTCAATAGTCTACTCAAGAAGACTACCAGCCTTTTCTTAGATAACGCTGCCTTCTTGGAACCTCTAATTTAGGGGTGCTCAGACAGAAGACAAAATATTATTGTTTTTGCTTGTGACGAAAACTTCTGCACTCGCAGTTATCTGGAACTTTTAGAATCTTGATACTGGGAATCTTTTGCAACAGTTCATTCTCCTTCAAGAATGGATCTACTCAGACAATTCACCGGAACTTCCACAAGACAAGCGAAATTTGCAGCAGTTCCGCAGGATTTTGTTGACTATTGCAAAAGTGGAAACGTTAAAAAGGGAATTGCAGGATTTCCACGTCAGATTGGTTGAAAACGAGAACTTCAGCAAGACCTTTTACAAAATGCGGCGGTTTCGCCGCACTTTGACTTGCCAGTACTTCCGCAGGATTTCAAATGTCCTTGTATCTTACGATGTTGTAATAGAGTAAGGTTCAGATCTCGCTTAGATGTTCTTTTTTGCTGTGGTGGTTTTATTCGGAACTTATGCAGCACCTCATTTGGGAACTTCCACGTTCACGGAACTTCCGCAGGTGACGCGGCGGAAATTTCCCAAACATTCTGCGGAAGTTCCGAAGTTGTCTGAGAGATCAAATCTGAGTTTGAAGGTTTGAAAAATTCCCCCAAGACTGCGAATTTGAAGCAAACAATTTTTTTACAATAATTGGTATCTCAAAACGAACACGCTCAACTGTTCCCACAAGCCAACACAATGCGGGAATTGCTCTTTTTTGACATGCCGCAGATCTCTTGTTCAGATGCACTCATGAGGAAATTGGCGGATTATCGCGCTCTCTATAAGGGTCGAGGCGGCATTCGCGCGCAGACTGTCAGATCCTCGTAAGGGGAGTTGTGTAAGTAGATGGATGTAAAAGGTGATGCGAAGAAATGATTTGTAGGCAATGCAGTCGAACTGATACTTTTTTCAATTGGTGTGAAGTTTCAGATAGGTTTTAGATTCCTAAGATCGATTTAGAATCAAATTTCATATGATTTGCTATTATAGCACCGAATGTGTAAATAATGACAAGTATTCTACAAACAATAAGTTACGTTTTGCAAGTTACAGTATTCTATCCTTGCAAATATTAGCACAAAATAACTGCGCGGTGATTCGGACGCCAGCTGAGCTAGATGGCTTTGGAATGTGTTTCAGAGAAGTTCAGATGGCGGGTTGCGAGTCAGATGGCCTGTAAAAGGCTATGCGATTAGTTTATGTTATCTAATCTCCTTACATACGTTTCTTACAAGTAGGCAAATTTCTCACAAGATATTGTTTTCGTTCGACTTATTGTTTATTAGTCAGTAGTTCCAACCACTGAGTTGGCAATTTGTCATGCTTGCGATTGGTATTCGAATGTATCATTGTGAGTATAAGCTTGTTAACATCACATAAGGAACATTTTTTGGCTACTTGACTGATGATTCTGACTGAAATTCTTGAGAATGAAGATTTTGTGAGTTCTAAACTCACATTAATCTAGGATAATCTCTGCAATGATATCATAACTGCCTACGAGCTTGCATTCGTAGATATCATAACTGCCTACGAGCTTGCATTCGTACAACTTGCTGTTTGCGTACCATCATAGCTCCTCTAGGCACTGAGGTAGCATGAAGTCTCAGAAACCATTCTCTATTGACATCATTTTACAAAAACCTAATTCTTTTTTTCAATATCGAGTACTTTGTGGTAAATCGTGCCCATTATAGCCAACAGACTGATGTTGGAAAAAGCCGAACTTTGGAGCATGACGGCAATTACTTGGAAATTCGGGAACAATTTTCAGAGACGTTGAGCTTCACTATAATGAAGTTTTGCAGCAGCGAGTCAGCAGTGGCGGACCGAGGGACTGCCCCACGCACTCTTTTTCTAAAGAAGCCAAGGGTCGAGAATCCCAAAAAAATTTTTCAGAGTGCGTGTCTAACCCCACACAAAAAAAGTTTTGCCTTGCCCACCACCTGGGCCCGCCACTGGCAGTCAGGTATTTCCGGCAGATCGTAGCTGACTAAAAGTCACGTCAAAATTCGTCCTTCAACGTCATATCCTGCTCAGATCCGCACAACAACTGTGATGTAAGTCACACCGTTTTATTAGCAAAACTTCAACCGGTAACAACAAAAAAAAACATTTTTGTCATATTTGATTTCTTTCAAGAAAAAACGGGAAGGAGGATGGAAAATGGGGAATGAAAATTGAACGTCAATATGGATGGCCAGGGTGCAAACTATCATTTATGCTTCTAACTTCCTAATGTGCAGAATTTTCTGAGGACAATTCGTGCTCAAACATGAAATGGGATTTTGAATCAAAACTTGAGAACGTACAAGTAAAGAAAAGTAAGAAAACGAAGAAACACAATTAGAGCTTCAATACCATATAGATCCTCATGAATCTTCTTCGCAATTCAAAGGCAATGAGTGCAAGTGGTCAAAACATCGGTCTATATCATGGTTTTACAGCAATCCCACATGTCTCCAAAATACGTCCCATAACAGTAGTGCGGAGACCGAGTCTAAAACAATACTATATCAACAAACGAATACACATGCAAGTACAGTCAAATAGATTTGTAGGGTAGATATAGTGCCCTCGCGGTGCCGAGATTTTGCGGTAAATTTTGCGCGTAAACGAATAGTTGGGCACGCGCCATACTTGATCCGCTTCATCCACTTCGTTATTGGTCAGATCAGCCAACTGACCAATGGCGAAATGGATGAAGCGGATCAAGCGGATCAAGTATGGCGCGTTCCTTACGTGAATTCAACATTTACAGGCGTAGCTATTTGTTCACGGCAAAGCTGACCATAAAATCTAGACCATAAGGTTACTCCACATTTACCAACAAATCTATTTGACTGTAAAGTGGTAAAGCATAAAACTAATTGCGTTCAGATCAGTTTGCGCATCAACACCCATCCCTTTGCCCATTTGTTTGCGAAAAAAGAGATCAATATGATCGCCAGTCGAAAGCAAACATACTCAGCAGCGCTGACGATATTGTAAAATTATGCCTATTTGAATTTGAGAATCATCGCAGCAAGGAAAAAGTGCAGCTCAACACCCTTTATGGTCACATGAAACATCGAAGTTGCAAAGATCAGTGAAATGATGATGCTGAGCAATCCCAAAGCAATCCAGAAGACAAACAAACAAAGAAAGAAAATGTAATAGCAGGAAACTATAAAACAGCTGTACATTAGAAGAAAGGAATAAAACCTACTTCTCAGCTGTTTGTGTCACCTTCGACATGAAGTCGCGAAGACGGATCGATGCATGGCACAGTATAAGAAATAGTGGGAACAACACACTAAAAAGTCAAAGCATATCATCAGCTTCAAAACAGACAGAACATTGTCAGTAGAAGCTATGCTCACCTGAACAAAACGGTGAGAACCGATGGAAGAACTTGGATGAAAAAGTAGCAGGCTAGAATTATGGCACCAAGAGTGATTAGTGGATGATCGCGACGCGTCTGAAAAGTGCGTACAGTATTTACTGAACCCAAAGTTTTAGTTTCCAAGGTATTTGTTAGAACAGACATAAAAGAGAGAGTTTAGTGATTGTAACGAAAAGAAATACAAAAACAAAGTACATAAAACTATTCAAAAATAAATGAGTGGGTGCAGATAGTCTGACATCACAAAAAAATCACAGCACAAAAAGTCTTCTCACCCCTTGGAGGCCCAGACGCTAGATTTCAGATATTATTAAAAATGAATAAATCTAGATCTAACCAACCTGGTAGAACGATGGATTCTCGGAAACAGCAAATACCACAACAGCAGCAACCACAACAATAGCACATAATCCCAAAGCCAGATCCTACAACTTTAATGCTAAAAAACGAAAGTATGCCAGAAAAACCAACCTGTGAATTGAATATGCTTTGCAAGATGACTAACGTAGCAAAAATGAACAGATAATTGGTCTGATAATAAAGAAGATTTGACACAATGCGATTATTCCATCTCGGCAAGTCGTTATAGGGCGGAAGCTGAAAAAAAAGTTCTGACACATAGGAGCTAGAACAACTGGTATGCATTCCTTTGTGTGAATCACATGAAAAATAAAAAACGTCTATCTATTTTACGTAATTTCGAATACTTTCCAAAGCTAGTCATTTTTAGGTAATAAATCACTACTTGCGGAAGCTGAATTGGTGTATGGGGGGGGGGGGCAACTTCACGAAAATTCTCAAGACTTAATTGGTTTTGTATGGAGTGTTCGCCCGCACCTATTGTTGCAACTTCAAAAATTCTCAGCTAGGCCGAGATTGTTGTGAAGGGATTTCCGAAACCTCTGGAAAGGGAAGCCTTCAAAGATGAAGTGGCCTTTCCGCATGACACCTACATCTCTTTTTAGAGCAATGAAGATAGTTCCTATCGGTCTTCATTTTCTGCGAACAACCCTCCTAAAGAAGTTATGGCGTTTGAAAGTCTAAAACTGTCAAGACTTGAGTGGCATAAAATCAGCGAAAAGCTGTACAAAAACACCTATTTTCTAAGGCTATGTAAGTCACTAACCTCGCTACAAATCTGGTTACCTGCTTAGTTGTTTTGGTGCAGCTTTTCGCAAATTTTGTACCCTTTATAGCATGACAAATTTGGACTTTCGAAAACCCATGACTTTTTTCGGAAAGTTTGTTCCCCAGAAAAGAAAACAGATTTGGAATCAGCGTTAGAAGACTGGTCTGGTGATACGGATGTTATATAGAAAGACCACTTCAACTAGAAAGGCTTCTCTTGTGAATAAAGATTCGGATGTGATGTTTTACATTGATGTAACGCCATAAGAAGAGGAAAAATCAATGTTTCAAGTGGGACGTTGTTGATGTTGCATCAATCGCAACTTCTAGAGAAAGAGCTCAACAGCAAAGAATTCCAGTTTTCCAAGTTGTCTAGGAATAACACCCCTTCAAACATACATTTCCATTCCTACCAACGACTTGTTTGCATTTTTGATTTGGGCGAGTCAACATCAAAATGATAACTTGAAATCTAGAAAGCCAAACAGCAAACAGATTTCGATGCACCTTGCATCATAAAGTTTGTGGCTGTTAACGACGGAAATCAAGCAGTCAAATCAACCATATGGCGGCAAACTTTATGAAGCCATAACCATTGGTAAAGTTGTCAACTCCCTACACAAAAAGAAATCCGAAAAAAACGAAAGAAAAAACAAAATCAAACAAATCAATGCAACAACCTCAAATCGTGCCTTCCCAAGCAGGAAATCGTTCACATTGCGGAAAGGTGGCAATTCTACACCATTACCAAAACGATAATTCACATCTGGTGTCGACGATTCCGTCATTCTGAAAGTGCTAAAACTTCAAGATAGAAATTGGATAGTGACGGTAGCTGTAAGAACAGACGCTCCTTCGCGAGCCGAAAAAAAGAATGATCAATAACAATGTGTTGGTTATTTGAGGAGGAACTTACAAGAAAGACGCAGGTTTGAAAAGTGGAACATATGCAGTACTCTCGGATAAACACGGTTTAATACAAATGAGATGAAAAAGAAATAACCTATCGATGCCCGCACTGAATCTCAATACTTAATTACAGCAAACTATTTCTACAATAATGCACGAATTGTGATAATCAATACAAACAACAGATTCATTTGAGGTATCGAATTTGGGAGAATTCATGGAATAAAGTACAAGAGCACATCGAACGATAACATTCAGTGGCAGATGCAGATATCGACAAAGGGTGACTCAAAATTTTTTTCTTGGAAAGTTACACAATGTCCTTTCGCCTTTGTACGTAAACAACCTCATCATAGCTGCAGTTCAAATTTACCCACGACAACTCAGATATTACTCCTATACTAATAGTCATTAGAAAAACAAAAAAATGTGATTTTTGGAAAAAAATGTGAGAAGATAGACGACTGAAAATACAGGCAGCAAACACTGAAAACTCAAAAACTTCCTACCTTTGAGATAACTTCGCAAGGAGACGCACCATACGAAGCAAAAGCCGTCTACAAAAAAGTCGCTACAAATTTGCTTACATAAATTTCGAAATCTTCGACGCAATTTCGTTTAGAAGAACACGTCAGCAACGTATATGATCCGTAAAAACAAATGCAACGAAATTTCTTCAAAAACCCCAAATGATGATGAGTCATTTACAAAAAACATTGCTCAAATAAGGGTTATTCTTTTTTGCAAATTGACCTAGCAAGAAAGCACAAGAAGATGTGAAAATTCACATTTTTGCAAATGCAGAGAGATCTCAGAGCAATGACAGCAGCAAAGAATCTCTTAACAAATCTCCAAACGAAATAAAAGAAAGATAGAGATGTGGCGCTCAATCCCGACAAATATGCCCGCTCCGAATAACATCGTATCAAAGAAAAAACAAACCCAATTCATTTTGTTACACTTTGAAAGATTCAAGCGCACTGTTGCGAAGACAATCGTAAAAGAAGGCAGTCAGAAACTCTGATTACTCAAATTGTTCCTCCAAAATCACTGTTGCCCAAATCTCTTTGATATAAAAGCACGAATCATGCAGAAATACCAAAACAAACAGATGAAAGTGGATGCAAACGATCGAGTGTTTGCGAAGTAAGGCCGCACCAAGCAGTGGGCCTAATCACTTGTTCGATAGCGGCGTCATGCAAAAAAACGAAGGTGACGGCTGTTTCGAACACAAGTCAACCAACCTTTGAGCGAAATTATCCTAAAGATTTACAATTTATGGCACCATCAATCGCACAGCCCGAGTGACTTCGCAAACATGCTTTTATATATTTTTTTCAAGCGAGCAACGACTAGGAAGGTTCCCGCATATCAAAATCATCTCAAAACTCTCGTATCTCACCGGAAATGGTTTTGAAAAAAAAAGGTCGAACCGAACAAGACTTGTTAATTTTTTCCTAACACGCGGCAAGCAGATAATTTTCATGAATTTATGAAATTAGCTTTTCAGACTAAAGCATATATTTCTTGGGAACGCTGAAAGGGCTCGTTATATTATACTTTGCCGAAAAAAAGCCCAAAAGCGCCAGAAAGAGCCGAAACGCCCCACTTCGTAGTGAAACGGTTCAATGTAACTTAACAACTGTAGTTTCTAGGAAACTGCATGGTTTTAGCTTCTCATGCAGCCCAACTACTGAATCTTTGTATTGTTCGTAATTATCTATTCGTCCTGTCTTCCTTGTTTAGTTTCAAACTTCTGTTTCTTTTTTCTAATTGATGCCAACGGCTAAAGAGCATGGCTGCGTATTCCGTAATCATCCGACTTGGAACTTGTCGGAGAATTCTGGCATAATTTTGGGCGCAGAAGACGGAATATGAAACTATTACCTGTGCGCAAAGATGAACCTTACGGCTGTTTTTGACGCTTTTGGGCTTTTTTCGGCGAAGTATGACGGGTCCCAAAAAGAAGGGCCCGGATAACGAAAGTACCGATATAAGTCCCTAATGCAGAAATTTATGACAAAATAGGATGGGATGGTTTCCCTAGATACTATTCTTCGTAGTGAAAAGCTAGAACACTCCTGACACAAAGTGGTTCTCCTCAAAAATCCCGTTTACGATTTCATAGGATAGAATAAATGAAGAGCTGCGATAAAAAGACAACGATAAAAGAAAACACATGTTTGTGCAATCCACCTTTAACACAGATTCCTCCGATCACAACTTGATTAATCGAGTTTTCAAACCAAGACGATTATTCCACCATTACGACAAATGTGATGCATAAATCAAAGCGAGGTCAGCAATAAATAAAGCCAGATGTGGTATCTGACTGCATGAAGGAATCCAAAAGAAAAAGTAGAAGAAAAGAAGAATTCAAAATGTAATCGGTTAGGCGAACAAAAGTTTGGCACAGCTAAACTTGAACAAAAATAGGTTCAAAATCGAGGGCCCTACCTTCACAGAATAAAACTATTCTGATCCTACCTTGGTGGAAACATTCGACAACTCCTCATGGAGGAGTGCAGATGACTGCAATTTGATAGCGAATTTTATGCCATTGAGTTCCTCAACACGTTGCCGTATGAACGCAAAATATGTTTGAACAGACGTATGCATAACATGTGTCACTTTGTGCCGATCTTTAGTGCATTCAAAATTTGCACTCTTGCAAAGAGACGCTGATCGCAAGGCATACCATCGCGAACATACGGGCAATAAATATCACAGATACACCAGCACGAGGCTCGAAAAAAAAAAGAGGAAAGATCAGTACAATACCCAAAAAAGTATCTGCTTCAGTAGGCAGGAGAGAAAATGGCTGAGTTATGAGGCGATCACTGTACTCTTATCAGTCAGGTGGAAACAGACATCAAAGTGACGACGCGCCAACTGTTAGACTCTCTTCTACGCTCAAATGCAGAAGATTCAACAGCAAATGAGCTTTCCTTAGTAAAGTACAGCAGGTAAAATTTATAGAGAAATAAAAGGAGCAAAAAAGTCAAAAGCCAGTGTCTCGCCAGAGTATCGCTTACCAGTTTTTCATATTTCGGAGCCTTCTCGCCATGAGAGAATCATATCTGGGCTCTTCAGCGCATGAAAATGGCGAAAATGAGCTTTTTCCGAAGCTTTCCAGGACCGCATTCAGTGAAGATAAGCCGGAAGTCCTCCGCGACCACCTCCCTCGTTCCGGCTCTGCCCACTTACTCGTATCCTCCAGTGAATGCGAACCTGAATAGCTTCGGAAAAAACTCATTTTCACCATTCTCATGCACTGAAAAGCCCAGATATGGTTGCTCATGGCGAGAAAGCTGCTAAAAGTTGAATTTTTGGGAAACAGATTCTGCCCAGACACTGCCTTTGAAGGCAACGGCTCGGCAAAATGAATGCTTGTAAGATTTTGCAGGTGTTAGGCAGTAGCCCCCCTCCCCAAGTACACCGCAGCTCCAATCCCACCCTCCATTTCATATGGAAACGGACTGTGGCACTGGTGGGCCCTCAAGGAGCGTTTTCAGAGCTGGACTGGAGGGTGAAGTTGGAGCTACGGTGTACTTGGTAGGTCTACTACTTACCACCACCAACATTTGACAGGGGTTCATTTTGGCCAGCCTCTAACTTTAAAGGCAGTGTTCAGACAAATCTAGATTGAAAATCCGCCTTGTACCGTGGAAATACGATGTGCAACATTTCTAGATTCTTCATGCCCACTCATAAGTAAGATCCCTCCCATGATGAATGTGCGAATTGCCTTTGAAGGCTAAAGGCAGTGTCCAAACCTTTGTTTCCCAGTTCTTCACCCTTTCGGAGCCTTCATAACAAGAGAAATCCATATCTGGGCTTTTGAGCGCACGAAAATGGAAAAAAGAGCTTTTCTGAAGCTTTCTAGGTATTCAATGGAGAATACGTGCAAGTGGGTGGAGCCCGGAATGAAGGAGGCTGGGCGCGGAAGATTTCCGGCGTATCTTCACTGATTGCAGACCTGGAAAACTTCGAAAGTCTCTTTTGCCATTTTCACGCGCTTAAAAACCCAGATATGGGCTTCCCATGGTGACAAGGCTCCGAATAGGTGAAAAACTGGAAAGCGAAATTTTGCCGGGGCGTTGGCTTCAATTGGTCTTGTGAAATTGGAAACAAATGAGATAATGCCATAATGTCAAGTTTTCTCCTAATGGCGATTAGGCATTCGGAGTTACATGGAATCATCAGTCGAATCGGCACATAGGAACTCACTACGCGTCAGAGAAATTCGAGCCGTGCACATATCACGGTCCTAATTACAATTTGAGAGCATTCAGAACTTGATTTTTCCCTGACGGATATAGACAAGTATGGGGAAATTGATGAACACGGCCGCAGAAATGAGCGTACGCAACCAGAGAAATTATGTCTTATTATGCGAGCAAAACTATGCAAGGGATCAATATTTCCAAAGTGCAACATAGTAAACAAATTCCTGTGCTTCGCATCCTAAACGCGAAAACAGGAGCCAAGAGGTGACTGAAGGAGTGAAAGAGATGGAGAGATGAACTTCATTTGTCATGGAGGTAATCCGAATTATCCTCTCCCTCTCTCAAATAGCCACTCATCAATCATTGATTGGAAGGGATTCAGCGTTTTTTCTCAGCAACTGCTACTGGTTTGAACGAGCACTTTGGGAACCAAATTGATGGGTTGGATTCCAGAAAGTTCAAACATTCTTTGATCTTTCACTCTTCCTTGTTTATTTTACTCCCTGATGGTAGTGGAAACAGCCATCTATGAGCAAATAATGCGGTCCTGTGTATGAGTGAATGAAGAGTGTAATGACTGACTTTAGGCTGCAACATACTCGAATGAATTTGTGATATGCCTGGGACCAAAGCAATAAAAACAACATCAAATTAAAAATTCAGTTTTATATCGACAGAGAAACGACAGCAGCAGCAGCTACAAAACATCACGCCAGGGATTTGAATTTCAACATTGCGGCAGCCGCGCCTTATATGACGCGGATATGCACACCGCGCTTGCACAGGGATCGGCCATACTATTCCTGCTATTCCTACGGGATCGGCCATACTAATCCTGATGATTCCTGCGACTCCTGCGATTCGGGTTGGGGGCACTAGGTCGCCGAAAAAGGGCGGTCCCCACGGTCATTTGCGACAAATACGCACCCTTGTACATGCGCGAACATGCGTTCCTTCAGGGAATCCGCGCGGGACTCCTCCAAATTCGGCGACCTAATGTCCTCCACCCCTGCGATTCCTGTGAGTCCCGCACAGTTTAGACGCCGCTTAAATGAGCGCGTGTTGCATGTTACGTGTTGTTTTACGCAACACGGAAGGTCACAGGGTAGGAGCCCCCATAATGGAACCTTGGGCCAAAGTTCGGTCTTTCTCTGCCACTTCTGAACCCCGAAATTTCAAAGGAAAGCAGCGCTCACCTCCTGTCCTCTCCGAACCCGCCCACCCCATGGACGAGTGTCTTCCACGGTCAGAGCGCCAGCCGCAATGCTATAAGCATGAGGTCCCGCAACGACTCTGTGTCTTCGGCATGACAGGCTCCGCGTTCGCACGTCCATGGGCGGGGCGGGTTCGGAGAGGACAGGAGATGCTGCCTTCGCTTTGAAATTTCGGGGGTTAGAAGTGGCAGAGAAAGACCGAACTTTGGCCCATAGGTTCCATTATGGGGGCTCCTACCCTGTGACCTTGTTTTGCCACGGGTCTCATTCTGCCGACGCACTGCCTTTAAGCGGCGTCTAAACTGTGCGGGACTCACAGGAATCGCAGGAGTCGTAGGAATAGCAGGAATGGTATGGCCGATCCCTCATGCGACAGTCAAGCTTAAAATGAAAAAGCATCTATAAAATTTCATCTCTGCCGCTGTTAAACTGTCCGTCCTATTTCACACTGGATTTTGCAAACAGAAAACTCTTAGGTGAAGGAAAACCTGTACTTTTTCGAATTTATCAATTCTCATTGAAGTTTCAAAAGTGGTGCCAAGTCAATTCTCGAAGATATTCGAATGAGAACTATTAACATTGGAGGAATTCTATTTTTGACATTTTGCGGTATTGGAAAGTTGCTTAGACCATCTTTCGGCATGATGTCTGTAAACAAATTTGATAAAAAAAAATACAAATTGTCGAATAGACACTTCGGCACTTCTTTTTTTTCTAGAACATCAGAAGAATGTTTCGGCCACCTTTAGAAGACCCCTCATTACATAACAACAGACTCTTTCAAGGAGAAAAATCTTATTGGAATGACCTAATTATCAGCCGGGGTAGCAGAGAACAACACAACGAAAAAATATTGTGAAGAGGAAAAAAATAAGAACGAGTTGAAATTCTATGTGAAAGAATTGGTCCACCATCTGACAACTGTTTCTAAGGCTACTGCTGGCTATGAAGAAGAGAGTGGAGGCGAATCTAGCGAATCTACGGATGAATCATGCGAAGCGGACAAATCATAACCATGCCTCAATTGTTCTTGTAAACTTTATCATTAACGGTGACGTCGAGGATTAGTCACCGCTTCGGAAAAACTCCGAGCAATGACTAAAACAATTTTATTGGCCACTGTGCAGAACGTTCTCAAATAATTCGCTGTACTGCGGATATTTACAAAGCATGAGGGGACAAAATTAGAGTATAGTCTTTATGTAAGAGCTTTTCCAGTTACGCGCACCATGAATGGGAAAAAATACCAAAAAAAAGCTTTCAAAGCTTTAGCTACAAATAAACTATCTCTTTTCCTTACGACCGCAAAAAAAAACCACAATTACTGGAACATCTGACCTTTGATTCAACTGGCTTGGCTTTAGGAAGGTGGGGCTTTGTGACCTAATTGGGGCTGCTCCGCGACGCAGTCTGCGTCTCTCTCGCGCGGGTGCTCTCTGATCATTACTTTGCCTTGATTGGTCACAAAGTCCCGCCTTCCCGAAGCCAACCCATTTGAATCAAATGGTATTTCTTACAACACACCTTCATTTTTCTTATGGGAACGATTGGATTAAGTTACATTTTTGAATCTGATTTTGTGAGTCAAGCGTGATCGACATAATGGCTGAAAATCAAAAATATATGATTTTCTTTGTTAGCTGGAATTATAGGCTGGTATCGGAAGCAGATATAGTTCGGCTGCGGTGATGGCAACATTTGCGCGAAAACGAATGGTATGCTTGTAAATGCCGACAACTTGCTTGCGATTTGCGTGAAAAGCCTTATCATATTCTCATTATTTACGCGCAAAAGTTATCGGCAACGAAAGAACGCTATGTTTACCGTTAAATCTATCTGCATTTCGAAACATTCCTTTGGTATGTGAGGCTGCTAAATGAAGTTCTTTGTATATCTATTGTTTTCCGTGAGATTTTGAAAATTTATTTGAAGATTTATTTATTTTGCTACAAGAAACAATAAATACTTTATTGAATTGTTAATGATATGTGTGAATAATAAATACGTGATTGTAAGCTCTGATGGAATTGCATTTTCTCTCATCCTTAGATTCGAATCGATCTGACTTTGCTGAAGTTATGTTGTTCTTCGGTCACAGGTCCCAGCCTAACCAAGTCTCCAAGAGGTGGAAGCTGAGGCTCTTGGACACCACGAGCAGCCACGTAAGCTAGCAGATATCTAAATATAGTCATATTATTGCAAAAGTCGATGATAAACACTGCGAAGAATACTGTACCTTCCGTTAGTCTCCACTTTGCAGATAAGATCACCGCGAAAGTGGACTTTTTGCGCAAAATCGTCATAAGAGGCTACTGTTTCGAAGGTTTCGTTGAAGCGGGCTTCGAGGCGTTGCTAAAATTCATTTGAAGGTAAAGATCCTGGGGAGTTAAAATCGAAGCAAGTGCCCCACTCAGCGCAGACTGAGTCGTTTCAGGACCAAACTGCGACGCACTAAACTGCGGACATTTGACATTTGATGTCGCGTAAACAAAGACATCAAAACAAATGTGCTCAAGTACTTGCAATTCGTGATAATATTTTCTCTGGAATTAAACCTAGTTTAGAGAATTGAAGTGCTGATTCGAAAATCACTTTCGCTTTCAGACCGCGTTCATTCTAGCTTACGCTACCCCACATATCAAATGCCCGTCATTTAGTGCGCCGCATTTGCACAAAAAGGGGACACATCGTCTACATAAAAAGCGGGCAATGGCTATCATTACCTGTAAGGTGTTCACAATGGCTTGGACGTTGCAAGTATGGAATTTTGGTCGAGCCTCTAGCTCGTTATAGGTGTTCACCATAAGGTCATTGAGTTCTTGATTGCAGCAGACGTATCCTAGAATCAAAAGTAGGTTATTATACTCGTTCATAAACATTTCTGAGATACTTTGAACACATTTTCTGACCTGTGGTCTATAAAATACCAAAAAATTTATCTCACATCAGTTTACCGAATTTATTTGTTTCTGATTTTGTTACTGAATTCAAGAACTTTACTCGCCCCTTCCCCTACAATCCTCAATTTTATTTTCTTCTGTCTTGCCAATTAATTGTCCCTACAAACCCGTCAGCGTATCAGACAACCGTAGATGCTTCGATTGTTCGTTCTCTCGAAATTCAGCGCCATCGGCTAAGAACCTGCACCTATGCGCGTAATAATGCGATCTTATCCACGTCGCCATACGCAGCGGATACGAAAACCGAATGTACTGATGATGATTAGCTGATAAGCTACGTTCTCTGATTTGCAACAGTTTTATGCTTAGAAAGTTACAAAAAAGCACAAAGTACGTTCCAATGGTCCTTTGATCAAAGGTAAAGGTTTCCCTGACTGATCCTATCCCAAGATTTCGTCAGGCACATAAACCCGAAATTACGATAAAAATTTTCTTTACAGAGACTAATTTAAGTTTTTACAAAATTCCAAAAATCGTTCTAGTAGTTTACAAGTATAGATGAGTCACTTGCACATACAGGGCGTCCCAAAAAGACTTAGATCTTCCATAAATCTTCCGCTTCAATGTCTTTTGTCGACTTTCACGTAGCATTCTGTAGAGCTTGCTTCAACTTAGATTCACAGTATGAAGCGAATTCCCGATCGTTTTTCGTTACTGTAGGATTACAGCAAACTTTGTAGAGGGTTCTTAAGCACTGAGAGTCGCATTTTGCCTCATAAGGAAAGCCAAACAAGCCAAAAACTTCCATACCAGGCTAATCAGAGTCGCTTACCTCAGCTATGAAACTTGCACCCGGTTTCTTGCTTCCTTCATAAGTTATATTAATTTTACAGCAATATCTGCTTTCCCGATGTTTTTAAAAAATGTGATTACACTTCTAGAAAAGCTCAGAAACCTTGTAAAAATTTGCGTAATGAAATCAGCATGCATTAAACCCTGATACATAATTTTCTACGTTCTTTGGAATTTTCGCATCAACTGATTTAATTTACCATGGCGCAGCATGCTGAAACCTACCGTAATCCTACGGTAACGAAGAATGACCGGAGGTTCGCTCCATACTGTAAATCTAAAGTTAAAGCCAACTCACAGAATGCCTAAGGTCGACAAAAGATGTTGAAGCAAAAGAGGTTAACAAAGATCGAACTGTGCACATCTTTTTGGGACCCCTGTATTTATACACACGTAAGCGATTTTCAAAATTTTTGCGAACCGTTCTCTCTCCGCCCTCCGCCACTGCCTACCACGTTGTGCTCACTGCTCAATGAAAAAGCCATGGAATTCAATAAAGCAACATTCCGAGGAAAAATGACGGACTTTTGATACGATTTGTTGAAATTTGTATAAGACCCATGAATCAAAATACCTAGAAAAGTTCGTGCAAGATCGGAAAGTCGCTGGTAGCCGTAAGATTGCTTAAAGCTCCATCAGTTGGGGCTTAGCGTTGGAATAAATTCCGAAAGAACTCGAAATACAATTCCACGAACTTCATTCTCCAAGAAAAGACTTATATAAGGCCTTTGTGAGCCGGAGGCATAAAAATATTTGCCAGAAAGAGGGGGCTCAAAACATTTCCACATTTCCGATAATTCGGTAATTTGAGTCTTTTGCCTGGTCATAGTCAAGTTACCTAATGAACTACGTGTTGCTGAAGATACAATGAGTAAGTACGTTGTTTATATACAGAGATCTCATTGTCAGTGTCTACACTCCCTTACCACCGCCCTCTCTTTCCTTCGTCTTTCTATGGAACAAATAAGAAAGAGAATCAAATCAAAGAAATCAAGCATGTCTCAAACAGGAACAAATCCAAACTGATTTCCGATAAAATAAAGCTGTCACGACGAATTGTCTGTTAATTTGATTTGTTCGATTTGTTCCTATCTTGCTTGCCAGTGGGATTGGACTTTAAGCACATCTTCATGACGTTTTTATTGACTTTGGAGAATAAATGGCTCAAAGGAATGGAAGTGAGCTTTTGTGAATCAGAAAAAACGCTTCTGTTTTCAATATATATTAAACTGGTCGGTCTTCTAGGGACTAAAAGGCAATGAAAAATTCTATCTCCAAAGCTTTGAGACAACTGTCATTCTGAGACATTTTGGGTAGATTTTCTACAGTCCAACAAATATGGAATATGAGAAACACTTTCTACTTTGATGTGATTTGATCATAATTTCTGTGATCAGCATGAAAACAGTTCCATAGTCGAGGTTTTGGCAAAGTCTTTGCATTTTTGGACTGTCTAAAATGGGATAACACCTTGAAAATCAATGATTTTCGGACAATGCCAATTTGTGGCATATTAGGTAGTTTTAGGTTACGGTAATGACTTCTAGCAAGATTATGTTTTACTGCACAATTCTCATTATTTTATAGCTATGAGGCCTACCTGAAGGATTGTAGAAGCACTGTGAATGTGGAACAGCACGACGAGGTGGATAGTAGTAGCGAGCAACATTTGTTCTGACACCGCCAATTCGGTTGTGGTCCTATATCGAAAAGCTGTTTATTTCATAACAGATATGCTCTTGCTAAAGTACTCAACTAAAAGGCCGTTTTGCACAAACTTAATACTTTTGAGGTGATTCCGCGTAGGACCGTCGCCACTAAACGCCAATTTAAGGGTGACTTTAGCTTACTGTCGTGCAAATCGACCCTTCTACCACGAAATGTGGTAGGATACATTTACTGAAGCTTCCAGTAACCATCCTTACCTCTACTGGAGATGGATATGCTGGTGAAGGTGTTGTTGTCGTTGGTGGCACTGACGCCGGTGGTGCAGTTTGCCTAGTTGTCTGTGGTGGAGGTGTTTGCCTATTTGGTGCAGTTGGTGGAGTTGGTCTAGGAGTTTGCCTTGATGGCTCGTGTTGTTCATAGTAGGACATGGCTTCCTGCGAAAATGCTCAATCTTCAAGGTTTACTGTAAAACCATGAGCCACAGGCAATTCGTCGCACGCAAACTGGACGCCACTGCGTGACTAAGATAGTACATGATAGGGAGAGACATCTGACGGTTAGCGAAAGGAGAGCGCGTTTGTGTGAGAGACGCAGAAAGAGTCCGCAATGGCGTCCTCTATGTGCATGCAGCGAATCGTCTATGAGTCGAGCTTCACTAATTTTTTGCATAGTTTCACACAGAATATAATAAGCGAACAAAATATGATACAAAAATTTTTTTAGTATCAAAATGCTTACCGCTCCATAGTTATACGAGGATGCGGGCTGCCCATATTGTCTCTTAATCCTACTAGCGAGTGCTTTCCTCTGAAACACAATACATCCCATATAATTTGTACTCCCTTGTGGCCCTTACCCTGTCCTCACGAACATCTACTCCTTGAATTTGAAACTGGCGATCACGGTGTGGTTTTTTCACGACACCCTGACCACGATGCTGTTGTAATGGAGTGTTACCTGGATGAGCAAAATGTTTTACTGGGAAAGGGAAACGAAAGTTTGTTCAGTGCTTATAAGAAATTTGTTCAAAGCACGCGAGCAAGCAACTATTTCTCAAAAAAGCATATCCAGTACTCTTCTGCACTTTACAATGCGTACCACAAATGCAGATCTTACCTTCATGAACAGGCTTTTTCGTAGTTTCTTCTTGATATGAAGTGGCTACGATAGCCAGAAGGGATAAAAGAAGTCGCATTACAGGTTTACCTAAATGAAAAAATTCTGTACTTGTGAGATTCTGTGGGATCGGTATCAGATTTCGAGAACTGTTCAAAAAATCTAGCACCAAGATGTAAATTTATAGCAGTTTTAAAGAATAAGGAATGAATGTAATTTTTACAATTTTCAGAAGCGCAAGTTGCAGATTTGACAATAGAATTCCTCTTAGAGCTGAGAGAGAGATTGCCTGATATGAGCTTTTTCTATTATTTAGAACGAAAATTAAAAAGACTAGGAGTTTCTCTACGGTTTTCAAAAGAAGAGCAACTACAGAGGTAACGTTAATAAAGGTACAAATGCAATTATTTATGGGAATAGATTAATTATCAGTGCTTAAAAACGGAGGATAAAAAGGAAACGCAGTTTTTCCACAGTTTACCGCAACTTGCAAATTCATTTTTATGAATCTCTTTCAGAATTTGATTACTGTACTTTAGCGCTCCTTGTAATTGCTACAAAGAATACAAATATCGAAACATTTTTGCAAATTTGATGAAAAATTCTGAAGAAAATCGAGCACGAAAACTCAATCCGAAACCTGTCCCCTAAAGCCATGATCTCAAATAAGAGCATACGCCAAACGTCACAATAGGTAGATTGAAACATTGGGGGAAGGATGCAAGGTGCCCACGCCCTCGCATAATTTCAGATAGCGTCACCTATCCGGATCTTCTCGCGCCGTATCTTATGGCGAATTGGCCGAATTGGCGTATGGACAAGATTGACATTTTGAAGAAATCACCATGTTCCAAACCATTACGTACTTCTTTGAGCTCTTTGTATCCTTGTCTGCCGCTCTGGATTGGCTGGTACATAGTACAGCAAAGTGTAGCCTTCATAGGCGGTCTGAAGATTGCATGTTTGTTTTTTGCTGAAGGAGATGTATACATGTACAGCTCTTCGGTATCACACAAATTCATATTTGTCAAATAGTCGCACATGAACTGAACTAAATAGACATTCACAAATTACGTTTGTGAAAATGATTGCCCGTTGTAGTCAAACTGCAGGCGAAACAAGAAGGAAGTATCTGGCCAAAGTAAATCCTACAAGTAATTCTCCTGCAAAAATATTAGGTGGATGCAACTGTTCTTGCGGTGAATTTCAAAAAATCTTAACTTCATTTCTTCTCAACGATTTTTCTCAAAGTTATTTTTGTTTGAAAGAGGAAACCTTTTTTTTATAACGGTGCCTTTGCCATGAATTAACGTTGGTAAGTTCGAGAGTTAGAACCATTGAAGAAAAATAGTCAAGATGAAAAATTCTGGAAGTATTTCTATTGGATAGAGAAAATTTTGTACATTACAGTGGTATCTTTTTCATGAATTAGAACGAAGTAGATAGAAAGTTAGAAGCAAATAAAGAAAATTCCCTCAGTTTTGCAATTTTTGAGCATGTTCAAAAAAGTCCAAAAACTTCATAGAAAATACGAGAAGGTCATGGTCATGGGTTTTGTGACCTTCTCTTTCGAGCTGAGCAAGTTTCGAGCTAATCAAGAGAATTTTTGTTTTTCGTGATTTTTTTCGGATTTTCGGGTCTGCTTTTCACGAAAATAAAAATTGCTTTTGATTAGCCCGAAACTCGCTCAGCTTGAAAGGGAAGGTCACAAAACCCACGTTTATGACTTTTTTGCCTTTTCTGTGACGTTTTCAAGCTTTTTTGAGCATGTTCAAAAATTGCGAAAGTGAAGAAATTCTCTTTATCTGCTTCTAACTCTATATCTACTTCGTTTTAATTCCTGCAAAAGTACCACTATAACGTGCAAAATTTTCTCTGTCAAATAAAAATACTTGCAGAATTTTTCGTGATTCAGCTTGAAAAATGCCGATCTTGACTAATTTCTTTTAATTGCTTTTAACTCTCGAACTTACCAACGCTAATCATGGCAAAGGCACCGCTATAAAGAAAAAGATTTCCTCTTTCATACAAAAATAATTTTGAGAAAAATCGTTGAAAAGAAAGGAAGTTATTGTCAGATGATGTTACGCCAATACCAGGTTTGTACGGTGGAATGTTTATTGGTCTTACGTTTCGACAAAATCGTCTTCGTCGGAGGCCTGAAAGTAGATTGCAGTGTTTTATCAGTGGGACCAGACCGCCAAACGCCTCCCCGCACTGCCGAGTCTAGATCCCTCCCGTACGCAACGTACTGAGACACTTTGATGAGAAACGTACCTCTTTTCCACCGTGGTGTTAGTGAGAGTCAGTAGAATCAAGTTAGCCGCACAGTAGAGACGGACTAGACTGAGTCTTGCTCAGCGATCTACACTTATATATATGTAGGTGCAGGCTATCGTTCACAGATCGTTAAGATAGGCAAGAGTTCGGCTGTTATTGATACGCATTCATTTCTATTATTCATACTAGGATTTCTCAGAGAGATCCACGCTGCCTCAATAGTCTTCCTCACTGAAATCTCTGCTTCGCGTGATAAGATAGTACATTTAACGTCAAAATCACTGCCGTTGTGCGTTTCAATTCTATGCCTTCCTAACGGTGATATCGCACTTGGCGGCACGATTCGTATGAAGTGGTACCGAAAGGAAAGTTCAAAGAACATCCTGCTGCATGCCAACTCAGCGCATCCATCAACAGTGAAACGAGCGGTTATAAGAAATATGTTCCGAACTGCTGTCAGTGTTTGCACGGGTGCACAAGAACGACTCGAGTCCCTAAATTTGGCTACACGAATTGCGCGTAGTAATGGTTACTCACCACGACTTCAACATGCCTCATGGCATGCAAACGTTAGCCACACTCGCGGCAATGCCAAGGTACCCTTGTGCATTCCTTTTATTTCCGATCAAGTAAGTGCAGCAATTAAGCGATGCATAGCTCGAGCACAACTGCAAAATGATGTTATGCTTGTGAACATCCCGAATGAAAGCATCAAAAAGCAGTTGGTAAGGAACAGGCTTTACGATATAGAATGTCCAACGGAGCATTGCATTGTCTGCCCGTATGGGAAAATAGGTGATTGCACAAAGGCAGGAGTAGTGTACCAATTAGAGTGCTTGAGCTGTAGGGCAACATATATCGGAGAAACGGGTAGATTGTTGAATGTTAGACTCAAAGAGCATTTGGCAGCTAAAAGACGAGCAAGTGCGATATCACCGTTAGGAAGGCATAGAATTGAAACGCACAACGGCAGTGATTTTGACGTTAAATGTACTATCTTATCACGCGAAGCAGAGATTTCAGTGAGGAAGACTATTGAGGCAGCGTGGATCTCTCTGAGAAATCCTAGTATGAATAATAGAAATGAATGCGTATCAATAACAGCCGAACTCTTGCCTATCTTAACGATCTGTGAACGATAGCCTGCACCTACATATATATAAGTGTAGATCGCTGAGCAAGACTCAGTCTAGTCCGTCTCTACTGTGCGGCTAACTTGACTCTACTGACTCTCACTAACACCACGGTGGAAAAGAGGTACGTTTCTCATCAAAGTGTCTCAGTACGTTGCGTACGGGAGGGATCTAGACTCGGCAGTGCGGGGAGGCGTTTGGCGGTCTGGTCCCACTGATAAAACACTGCAATCTACTTTCAGGCCTCCGACGAAGACGATTTTGTCGAAACGTAAGGCCAACAAACATTCCACCGTACAAACCTGGTATTGGCGTAACATCATCTGACAATATTACTACCGTTCCCAAATGCCCAGGTTCAGAGAAGAGAGAGCATGGAACTTACTAAAAGGAAGTTATAATTTTTTGAAGATCCGGAGCAAGAACTTTTGCACCCACCTAATAGATAGTTGATTGAAAATTGCAGCCGTGTCCTTTAGCTTCCGGAGTTACCAAATAATCTTGTAGGAATTCTTGCTAGCATGTTATAGCAATTTTTTTCTGTTTGCCGCATGTTATGTGAGGACGATATAATGTAAAAAGTCTGCTATGATTATTCTGTATTTTGCGATGTATGATGAATACCTACAAACAAGAATGGGTTGATTTTTTATTATGCAGCTTATATATGTTATACTATATTGTTGTAACATTTGCTGGGCATTGAGTAACTCACTTTCAAATACATTCCTACTCCAAGTGAAACGATTTCAAACTAAAATAGGTGACTCGCATCTTACTTATTGCGGGATCTGATGGTGCTAACTATTAGACCAAAACTTTTACAGATAACTGCTGCGTTGAAATCCTTTGATGAGTTTGCCTTTCGTTGGTCATTGAAAATGGGAGGATCCAATACAGTTTACTTATGAATTCAACCCTCTCAATGTTTCCAGTTCTAACAATAAGCCATAATAATGAAGAGCTTAGCAATAACTTGTATAGTCTGTTGCAAATGCTAAGGACTTTCAATTTAACGAAAAAAGAAATGCAAAATCTTCTACAAAAAAAATGACTACACATAGACTGACAATCCTGAGTGGATGTTGCACATTGTCATGGCAAGATGTTCAGTAACAACTTAGTAGTTTTCAGTTAACTTAGAGAATCATCTTTTGCACTGGACTCCATAGCCTTCAAAGTCAAGAGCCCATTTGTGAATCACGAATTTAGCGAAAGCATGACAACAACGATCTACATAGGGGATCCTGGTTGCAGATTTAACATGCATTTTTTTATCATTCTCCACGAGGACTCAAACAAACAAACAACTGAGTTTCTGCAAACATTTTGGAAGAATATGCTGGCTTACTCTAAAATGGAGAAAAAAGCAATGCAACCTTACATCAAACGCGGAAAGGTTATCAGCTTTTTGATTTAACAAATAAAACTAGAATAAAGAAAGTTCATACATACAAAAATGTCTAGTATCTATAGACATAGACAAAAAAAACTGTTTTGGTCCCTTGATATAACGTTTTATCACTAATTTGTACTTTACAAGAGATTTTAGATTTCAGGGTTTGCACTTTTCAGATAGATGAGGAAGTCACAAGGAAAACACTTAGTCAAGGATTATACGGTTTCCAAAACAGCTTCACTGATAATGTTTCGTCTTGCGGTTGGATTAGTTGCGCACCATTTTTGCTAGTGAATCGAGTGAACGGCACATCCATCAGTTCCTGCAAAGACCACCTTATCGTATTTCACAATATGTTGAGGTGGAGTAAACTCACTTGATCCTTACGTTTCTTTAGAAGCATTTGGTTCGCATATGATGACGCCTGGCAGACAAAACCTTGAACTCCGTATTTCTGAAAATATTAGGGAGAAAAAATTTGCAAGATGGGGTCTAAGATAATTCGAGAAATTTTAGTCCAGAAATTGCATCGTAGAAAGGTTCAGTGTTGAAGGATGCAAAACAGATTGAAGGGAATCAACAGCTGCATTTTACAGAAAATGTAAACATAAAGAAAACCTGGTGTAAAAATTATAGAACAAGAAATCGTTATAAACGAAGCTTATAGAACCCGAAATATGTAAATAACCTACAGTCCCTAAATTTCAAAACTTCAAATTTCATATTTTGTTGCCCGCTTCACCCCTCCCCCTCTTCTTGTACGAAAAAAACTTAGGCATTTCCACCCGTCTCTTCTTTTTTTGACTATTTTACGGTGTTATTTTACTTACTTTAAGAGTTTTTCAAAAGTTGTCTTTGGAGACTGCGGACCTACAGAACTCACCTTCAGAAATTCGGGAGACTTCCTTTTATCAAGCATTTTTCCTGCGATACCTCGACGATGGTAAGCAGAAGCGACACTCAAGAGATCTCTGCAAATCAAATAATGTACGGATAAATAGCACCAGTCACTTACAATTCGAGAACAGTGTCTATTTCTGGCAGTAGAGTCCAGATAGAGTGATGTATATCTTCGCATATCGTTCCTAAATTTCGTTTAAGATTTTTTTGGGTATTTTTGGCATTTTATCCCTGAACTGCAATATGTTATGTTGACAGAGATAGTACGAGATAGGTATAGCAAATCTAGAACTATGGTGGATGTATATATAAGCGAACCGCTGCGAAGCTGCACGCTGACGCATATGCCTCTGAGTCGCTGCATTTCACGCCCTTCAGCGATGATGCTGCGCGACTGCCGCACTCGCACCGCTTCGCAAAGATGAATTATCCGCTTTTAGGACCCTAGAGCTCACCAATTGCAGCAATCTCAGGTCGCTGTGGGGATGCAAGTGGATCCACAAATTCCGGATCATCTCGGCGATAAATCGTGCTCACTGCCACACCGACGATATCTCCATTTCCTAAAATGTAATAGTAATGTTAAAATATAATTCTAAAAATTGTCACTTATCGTTCCGACAGATGACTGTGAATGGTGTTGGTAATGCTATGTCAAGGACTTTGTCAGCATATGGAGCAAATTCTTCTTCGCTGATACCTGTCGCCTGTTACGGATGCTTTCTAATAGAATTAGAAATACGCTTTCTGCTGCTTTCACATACCACATTCATGGTTTCTTCTTTGAGGAAATGTTTCATCAGAAAATCTCGTATCTCTTTACGGTCATTTTCCGTTGCAATCGAATAGCACAGTTCGTCCATGACCTATGCAGAAAATTTTTTTTATATTAGATGTGATTCAAGAAGAAAATTCGGAGGGATGCAAAAGACAAAAACAACATTTTAAAGTTTCTTGAAATCTATTCTGGCCTCTACACGATTCAGTTCACTTGGTAAGCATGTCCAGATGACATACCTTGCCTCGATATAAAAGTTTACGAAATAAACAATGCTTTTTAAAATCCAGTTCGACCCCCATTGAAGATACATGAATATCTGCTTTTGTAAATTCTATCTCAACTCACGAGGTCCTATGCTAAGGAAGAAGCAAATTATGCTTCGAAACTGAAAAGTCAGTGCCAAGGAACGAGTGGAAAATGAAAGTGCGAACACCCTTTAAGCAATCCTTATGCTCAAATAATTCATGTGAAATATGACGCGCTTATCTTTTTGTAAAAGTATCCTCTATTTGGGCTTCCTAAAAAAATTCTGGCAATGTTTAACAATGAGTTCCTCAAAAAAATTTCCCAGGAGTTCGATTTTTCCACATTCAAGTTATCAGCTACATGAAGTTGTTGAGTAGTACCCTCGGTGTAAGTGGAAGATAAGTCAGTGACCAAATAAATGAATAAGTAAGAAACAGTACTACTCCAAAAAATTGGAAGTATTAGATTATTCTGGTGAGTTCAATATGGTCACGAAAAGTGCCGAATCGAAAGAGCTAGCTGTGAAATGGATGCATTTTCTTGGGATACAAAAATTTCTCATGCTCCAGAATACGATCAGGAAAAACTATATATGCTAGTCCAAAGGACCGGATACAGCATGAACTTCCAGCGAAAACTTAGTCGTTGACTTTTGTGCTTTCGACACATACTTGAAGCTCCTATCTCGTGTGACATTCATCCGAATTCCCACGTACGAACGTAGAAGTATTCCCACGTTTGCAAAGTACAGTTGCGGAGTGGTCGGGAGAAATTGGCCGAACTCTTGCGGATATTTTGTTTTACCTCTGTGAATAGGGAGAAATTTCGTCACATTGGTGGTGGTGGTGTAGAGTGTTCTTTTCAAAGTCTAAAGCAGCATGCGGACTTTCAAACTATGCTCGTTTTCTGCCATACTATTCAGGATCTAGAATATTGAGATTTAGAGTAAAGCCATGGCCTAAAAATGCCTAGATAACGACCTACATTCCTACCATTGATCACAGAATTCTAACAAGACCTTCCAATTAAATTTATGCATTTTGAAATTGACCTGAAAATTCATTCACAACCTTGAAAATTCAAAATTCTTGGTGTTTTCTTGCTGTGTTTACATTCTTTCAATTTGAGAAATATATCATGCGCTTTAACATCACCACTAGACCCTTCTAGAGGTTGTTCCAAAAGTATGTATACACTGTTTGATCGTTGATATCTCTTTTCCCAGAAAGTCTTTTGCTTACCTCTAAGCACTATTAGACTGTAAAGCTGGCTTTAACTTAGATTTACAGTATGGAGCGAATCACGGATCTGTTTTCACTACTGTAAGATTACGGTAGGAACTTTCAGCTTATAGCATCATTACGGATTTACGTGTTTCAAAAAAGTTTCCAAAAAATTTGAAAAGTGATTTATTAGCATTTTTAACCTGCTGATTTTATTATTCAACTTTTCACGGGCTTGCAAAGCTTTTAAAATGGTGTAGTCACGATTTTGGAGTCTTTTAGAAACAGCTTTTGCGGTCTACCTGTCATAACTCATGAAGGAAACATTGCGGTAAAGTGCGAACATCATATCTAGTTTTAGCGGCTTCAGTTGGCCAGCCTAGCATGAAAGTTCTCTGGTTGTTCGGCTTGCTTTCTGAGGCTAAATAGGTTCCTTGATGGCTCACTACCTTCTTGAATTTTCTACCGAAATCCTACAGTAGTGAAGAGCGACCAGTGATTCGCTCCATATTGTAAATCTAATTTGAAGCCAACTCTATGAAATGGTGCTTGAAAGTAAGCAAAAGACTTCTTGGGAAAAGAGATATCAACGATCAAACAGTGTATACATACTTTTGGGACACCCTGTATTATACAAGTATTGTGGGGGTAGATACTGTGAAGAAAATTTCTACAATTTTGTATTATATAAAAAAACCTCCAAAAACCTAAAACTTGCCTGAAACTCCGAAATGCCATTAATAAAAGTTCTTCAACAAGTCCTACGTAATTAAGCAAAGTCAGTTAATTGAACGCTCTTCTTGAAAAGTCATGTTTTCCGAGCAAACATCACAAAACAGCTAATTTGTCTTTTTTTTGAAAAATCAATTCAAAAAACGGTCAATCCAGAAACTTTTTTTAATTGGAACTTGTTATGGAGCGGCTAAAATGGTCCTATAAAAGCATGAGTTGCTCACTGGAATAAAATCAAAATCATGCAAGCCCGTTAAAAAAGCTAGAAGCTTTGAATTTTGGAAAGGCGAGCAGTCTTTTATGTCATCTTAATCATTTATTACAGACAGGCATACCTACAATAAAGCGAAGCCAGCATTGGCTAAAATAATGTGTGCAATTTTTCCACTAGCTTCTTAGCAAAACAAAAACACATAATTTACAGCGAATTCTTTATAATGGTAGTTTTGTTCTTGACTTTTTTTGAAGTGAAGTTGTCTTTATTTGATTATATTACGTTTTTTCAGAATGAAAGACGAATACGAAGGAGTGTTCGGGTTTGCTCATGCTTGTTTTGAGGATTAGTGTCATGTATGAGGTTACTACGATGCTGAATTTTGTTGAACCAACGCTTCAGAGACTGGATGCGTCCGATTAAGATAGTACGTGTTTGGGAGAGGCAGCAGACGGTAAGAGAAATGCGAGTGTGTTGGATCTGAGAGATCTGACAGCGTCCGCAACGGCGAACCGTCTCCGCGTGAAAATATCCATAAAAGATCACTGCCATAGATTGTGGAGAGGGGACAGAAGCTTCGATTGGGTCAGCTTTTCTTGAACTTTATAGAGGTACATATGGTTAAGGCACCGAAAGTCTTTGCGTGCATGATATCATGAAGTCTTAATAGCATAGCGCTATCAGACCAGGGCCCAGGATTGCGAGAGCGTCAACATGCTAAACATTAGAAGCTCAAAAATCGGCACCGCGGAACTTTTAGCCGAGTTGAATAACTAATGCTGTGCTTGGCTCGAGCTCAGCCCACTTCTCGGCTCACCTCGGCGAATGCATACGAGGATAAGCACAATGGAAGTCTATGCCGATAACAATAAATCACTGACAGCCACATATTTTCGTATTCAATGTGCGTTATTAGAGCAACGATTACCATATAAGCAGACAACAAATTGATCTCGTGGAGGAAACAACACCTATGAAGCTTAGAGACGCAAAAAGAGGGCCACGATTGTTTCTGGCAAAGGGCATGGAGATTTACGGGGTGTTTTCGTAAGCATCAACACTTATCCCACCGCTTGCCTAGTGAGAGGGGCATTCCAAATTTCGAGCAAATTCTATGACTTCCGCATTTGAAGGAAGGAAAATGCTCATTGAGATAAGTGTAGTATGCTCATTTTGAAGGCTTCAGGCAATAGTGATTGAAAATCTATATTCTTTCTTACACTCGAAAGAAATAGCATCACATCTAACCAAGAACTTACTAATCACACTGCAGAAATAAAGATTTAATAAATTATAGTACTTTTAGCATTCCACCCTATGAGGAACAGCAAAAGATAGAATATAAAGGTTAGGTTATATATTAGGTTGCTTCTTGATAAACGTTTTTACTTAAACCATGACTTTTTGTAACTTTCCTTTATCTGAAGCGGCTTGAGTTCGACAGAGCGAATAAGCGTTACTAGATAGATATAGAACCTGACCAAATCGTATTTTAGTGAAGTTTCAAGCTGAAATCTGATAATAAATAATAACGAACCCTCTCAAAAAACCTAAAAAATTCCTCATTTACTCTGGCATATACTTAACACATTGTTCAATCAATTGTGCCCTCTTCGCTTTTTTTTCATAGCTAATTATAAGGAAAAAATGATTGGGAAATGGCAAAGTCCGCCCCAAATGTCCTGAGCTCCTCTCATACACGTGATCACATAGCGCTCATTCATACAGAAGTACGATCATGTTTTTGTACCCTTTGTAGGTGCCACAGTTCTCAAAAAAGGTTGATTGGGTAAAAACTTTAAAAAATTATGAGAATCCCAAATAGTTATACTATGTATTAGGTTGTAACAGAATTAATGCAGGTTTTGAATTCCAACCGCAATAAGTCATACACTTCTCATTTCTAAGTAGGTTACAAAACACCATTCGATAGAGCAAAGCAAACTCTACAAGGTGGCAATCTTGCTTTAGCAACAACTCTGATCCACCACGAGTTTCGAGCCGAAAAGTAAAAAGATTCAACTGTCCGAAAATTGAGAAAAATCGTAACTCAGTTCATAAAAAACCTACAAAAATTCTAACTTGCTCACGTAAACACTATTCACATAAGACATCTATACACGCCTTTCCGTATTTTTCTCTCTATTAGAAATCAAGAAAACGGAAATTTTCGTGCGTTTGCCAAAGAGTTGCTGTGCCGTTCCCAAACAAGTAGTTGTATACTACAAATCTGTAGAAGTACAAACGTAAAGTTTCAGCTCTCTACAAGCTTTAGTTCTCGAGAAATTTGTATTTCAGCTTGGACCAAATGACTAGCGAAAACTGTATTCGATGACTTATGTGGGAACGGCACAGCATCACTTTGGCAAACGCACGAAAATTTCCGTTTTCTTGATTTCTAATAGAGAGAAAAATACGGAAAGGCGTGTATAGATGTCTTATGTGAATAGTGTTTACGTGAGCAAGTTAGAATTTTTGTAGGTTTTTTATGAACTGAGTTACGATTTTTCTCAATTTTTCGGACAGTTGAATCTTTTTACTTTTCGGCTCGAAATTCGTGGTGGATCAGAGTTGTTGCTAAAGCAAGATTGCTGCTTTGTAGAGCTTGCTTTGCTCTATCGACTGGTGTTTTGCAACCTACTTAGAAATGAGAAGTGTATGACTTAT